TTAACAAACATTCATCATTGATAACTTTCGCATTTATGATATTTATGGTATTTATAATTAATAGTGGGATTAGTAATAAATATTCATTTAAATTAAATTTAAGCTCGGTTAGACCAATATTGTTCCTCAAAAAAAAATCGATGAAAATTCGACATTTGATACCGAGAAAAAACGGGCTGAGTAGTCGTTACTGAGAAATGTCACCATTTTATAAAATGACCGACTATTACATGACATTAATTCTACGATCCAATCTACGTAGTGGTACCCAACCCACGAGTTTTGGAGTAGTGGTATACCGTATAAGTTATAATCGAGGAGGGATATCAAGCCACCAACATCAAAGTCGAGTATGGATAATTCAATCTAAATCTACTTTTTTATTTTATAAAGCTTGTTTTCTTTATAAACACGTAGTGTGATTAATCCTCGAGAGTCAAAGATTTAGTCTGATTCGGATTATCTATAGCCTTATAGATAGTGGTAGCTTAGTGGTAATGCGTTCGCTTGGGAAACTCAGTGAAGCGGGTTCAAATCCCGGATCTTGCACCTCTGATATTTTCATGTGCGAATCATTTTCAACATGGTTACCATTGTCATACGGTGAAGGGAAACATCGTGAGAACTTAGTATGTTTTCGAAAGACATATGCAGTTTGCCAACCCGCACTTGGCCGCATGGTGGACACTTTAATAAAAATGTTAATATTGTATAAACATTATGAAAAATCATGTATTATTTTATTTCTGAAATTTACCTAATTCTAAGAAATATAATTTAAAAGTTATAAAACTTTCATTGAATGCCACAACGGAGGCTTCTTCGTTGTGGTAGAATTTTTGTTTTTAATCAAAAGTTTTTCGTATTTTTTTCAATTTTAGTGTAAATGGCTTCTGCCGATTTGAACTATAATGAGATTATTGAGGTAAGGAAAACTATAGAAACTTCTAAAAAAAGATTTACTTCGCTATATTATATTTATATTATACTAGCATATCCCGCGGCTCCGCCCGCGTTCATATGACCAAAACCAAATTATTAGGTTTTATATATTAGTATACTCGTATTAGTACATTAGTTGACCCGGATAACCAGCTATTACCATACCAAATTTCTTCAAAATCCCTCCAGTGATTTTTCTGTGATGCGGTCACAGACAGACAGACAAAAATTCTTAAGACTATAGGTTCGGCCTCTGCTAGCTATAATAATGTGTATTTCAATAAAATTCTCCAAAAAATATTAAAAGCACAGATACTGCTTCATTAAATTTTAATGTATGTATAGATGTAACTAATTTATAAAGCCAAAAAAAAATAGTTTTTTGATAATTTAAACACGGGCGACGCCGCGGGTAATTTAGTAGTAATTCTAATAAAATCATAGAAAGATCGAATTTGTACATTCAATTTTTTGGATTAAAACTACTTACGTATTTGCAAGACACATGGCGACATCTATTGACAAATATCTAAATAATACAAAAATAAATATTCAATGCTAAAACACATATTTATTTAATTTTATTGAAAAGCATTAATACCAAGTTTCAAGTAATTCTGATCATAAATATTTTTTTGCATTATATTATAACGTATTTTCGCGTAGGAAATAGGTAATCTCCCGCGGTAAAAAGTTGCCTATGTCACTCTTCCTCCAGCCCTCCAACTATGTCCACACCAAAAATCACGCCAATCCGTCACTCCGTTTCGATTTGAAAGAAGGACAAACAAACAAACACAATTTCACATTTATAATATTAAAAGGGATACACAAGGGACACCTACCTATGGGATATAATAAAAAAGTTTCTGTGTAATATTTTCCAAAAACGTCACATTTGATTTTTACTCTCTTGAACTAATAGTCTTTATTGCAATAGAAATGATTTAGGAATTGAAACAAAAATTTTCGTATAAACAAGTTGAATAACCTCAAAACAGTGAACTAAAGAAACGTTGGTAATATGGTTAAAGAGGAAGAAAGGAAATTTTAATAATGACTTTATAATTTATTGTTAGTTTTATTCTTCCTAATTAAGACTTCCATTCAGCCTTATGGCTTGTTCCCCCTCAAATCATAAAGTTTTATTCCAAAACATACATAAAAAACTTCAAGTCTTTCAACTTCAAGTTTTGAGTGCTCAGCAAAATCTTGTAAAAATTTGTAATTATCAAAATATAATGTAAACATTACAATATGAATTCGATTTGTTGTATACAAGTATATTTAGTTAAAGTACCTATTTATAGCATAATATTTGCTTATTAGTACGTATACGAAAGTGCTACGTTATATGTTCGCAGAAATAATGATAATTTCGTAATGAGTGTAACATTTAACATTATTACCAAAAGCAAATGTAAACATGACTCAGTACCAATGACTCGTTTACTATTTTATTCCATCCTTAGTTTTATGCGTATAGGCGTGCCAGTTGAGCACAATTTACATCGCCAGTCGCATATAATGGAGAAGACATATCTTTTTACTGCCTCGGTGGTTAGCATGTACGGCCGCAGATCCGAAAGTCTCGGATTCGAGTCCCGAGTTGGATCAAGTTCAGCTATTGAGTATTTCTGTCAAGAAATTCTCAGTAATAGACCGGAGTTCATAAGTTGGGAAGTTGGCAGAGGCTCACCCCAGTGCCTCGGAAGGACATTATTATTATTAAATAACTAGCATTGCCCGCGGCTCCGCCCGCGTTCAGATGACCAAAAACTAAATTCTTAGGTGTTACATATTAGTATACTCTTACATTGCAGTTTTTGTATTTTTCCTCAGAAATAAGATATTTTCCCGCGGTAAAAAGTATCCTAGGATCGCGCGCTACATCGCCCGGTTTATATAGCTTGAGCAGGCGGTCGAGCGATGCGGGGCAGAGGGGATGGACTCGCCGTAGGCATCTCAATGCTCGCCAAGCATTAAAAATGTTTCGCTACTAATTACTTCTAACAACGATATCTCAAAAACTATTCATCTGATTGATTTAGTGTAAAGAGCAATTTTAATCTGCATTAAATGACTAAGCTAACTAAAATATTCATTTGGATAAGGATTAATACCGAACTAAAGAAAATAACTTTGAAAATAACGTAATGTTTTTAATTAAAAATGTTAACATAAAAGTGGTTATTGTAAGTCAACCGTAAGAGATAGAGATATGCTATCGCGGACTTTTTTGTAGCATTTTTATAGATTTTGAATTCTCTAGTACATTACTTAACTGTATCTTTGCTAGTTTACGCGGCGTTCGCGTGGAAAGTTCCCATTTGGCGAGATTTTTTGCGACCTCTTCAACATTTGTCGCCGTATTTCAGCTAATTTACATAAAAGCATAATAAATTATATACCTAAACCTTCCTCAAGAATTACTCTTTCTATTGTTGAAAACCGTATAAAAATCCGTTCAGTAGTTTTCGAGTTTATCGCGTACAGACAGACAGGAGGACAGACAGGAGGACAGAAAGACGCGGCCGGGGGACTTATTTTTATAATAAGTATAGATATACGTTTTCTCAACTGTATCAGGAAAAGCTTCTATTGCTACGTTTAAAAATGTTAGTGTTGAAGTCATTTATTATAGTACATACTTACTATAGTTTTTTGGAAAATTCAACTAAGGCTATTTCAATTTTAGATAATACATGGAAATTTTTATTTTAATAAGAGAAAGGATATATATTATACATGTTGGAGGATTTAGTGGAAATGAATTATAATCTAATGTAAAACCTTATTGTTTAAAGTCACTATGTTATGTTTCGTCAAATCAAGAGTCGAGGCCACGTCTCGTGCGGGGTCGAGTCGCCATCATGACATTCGTTGGAGCTATATGGCTTGGTAATATTGGTTGAGCCTGGAGGATCATTAGAGTGTTGTGTGTTGAATTCAGATCGGTGTCGAGAATCCGTAGATTTTTTTTCGCTTTTTGTGTATCAATATCTCGAAAACAAAGCGAGATATCGAAAATTTTTATTCTTACTTTTTCAAGATATACCTATAAGAATTCATCGTCAAATTACGGCGCCACGGAAATGAAAATGTTGCTAATTGTATTGAGTATTGAATTCTTTATTATTTGTCAGCATTAAGCCCTGAAAACGCCCACAGTATTCGTAACCACTAGCAATGATGACCGTAATATGGATACCACGTCATACATATATTCTAAAGATCTACGTCCCACTGAGACTCTTTCGTCAGTTACTCTCAGGACAGAAGAATTATTATACCTACATTTTTTTTACCAATCTCATCCTTATGATATGAATTACTAAATTAAAAACTTATTTTAAGCACAGATAACATAATACTATACGAGTGCATATATCCCAATTCCCATCTCAAAAAATTTGAGCAGCTCTAATTTAGGCTAATTTTGTTTACTTAATACACGATAGATGGCGTTAATCCATAATCTTAATTTATTTTATTGTATACTAGCAACTCATCTTCGTTCCGCTCGGGTTCGTCCCTAGTTATGTTTTTAACGTGTAGTATAGAATTCTCAGAGATAAGATACTTTCCCGCAGTAAAAAGTATCCTATATGTTGACTCGGATAGCCAGCTATCATTATACCGAATTTCATCAAAATCTGTCCAGTGGTTTTCTAATGATGCTTTCTCAGGCAGACACACAGACAAAAATTCTAAAAAGTATACATTCGGCCTCTGTATCGATATTAATGACTATTCCAATAAGATTCTAAAAAATATATTGGATTCAGTTCAAATTTTATTATATGTATAGAAGATAAATTAATAGTAAAAAAAATCTTATAGGTATATTTTCTTTTTTTATCTTATTTATGAAAACGTTAAATGTTTAAAAAAAGCTGAACGGGTTTTATTCCTAAAGAGGAATCTATCATTCATCTATCCGAACATTTGCCATATTATAATAGATAAAATATTATAGGACGTTGAGGTTGATTAAGCGATTATAGAGGAAAAGCCATTATTACTTACATAATTTTATTTATTTATAACAAATGTCACCTCACAGCCACAATACTATGACAGCGAGGAGAAAGCACTGGATCGAATAACTTCACTAAATAAACTTTTTCGAAGCCATTTTCAAATAAAAACAACAGTCTGTCCAACAAAATAACACTTTCGATAACTTGAGCTAAACAAAGTCTTAAAAGATAAAATATTACTATTTTTTTCCACTGGCAATTCATATTTTTTTGTATATCCGTTAGGTAAGTTTCAGGTATAATTTCGTACATGTTGAGTTTTAGAAGATCGTCCGCCATTTTGAAATAGTCATTAAAATTTTGACATTTGGACGAAATCCCTTTCAATTTACCTTCCGACAGAGGTAAGTCAGGTAAATGAGTTTTTATGATAACCTGCAATTAAAAAAAAATATTCATGTTACCAAAATATGTGAAGTGAACAATAATAGAAAAAATATTTTTGACGTAACTAGAAGTAGATTTTTACTACCTCAACGGTGCCATTATGGCACCAAGAACATATTAAAATAAGTATGTAATATGTATGTATGTAAGCAATAAAAACACAAGAAGGCACATTTTAACTCTTAACTATCCATAATTATAATTTATAACATATATTTTCTGTAATAATAATAATAATACAATAATCATATATATTATTATTGTTTAAAATTTCTGTAGTAACAGATTTACGAATGTATCTATCTTAGAATATTAAATCCGTTGACTAACTGACTGACTAACACAGAACGTTTAGCATGAACCGGTGTTAGTATTATAAATATTTTCTTAGATATATGAGAATATTTGTCACTTTAATTTTAAATAAAACTATCTATTCGGATTTTTTCGCGGATTTATTCTTGGTTCCCATAAATAGAACTCATTCGAATTACGGAGTACTATTACGTATTTATAACTCTTTTCGTTTCCATAAACCTCATGACCCATGATATACTATATCCAACCTGCAACAAGGCCCTGTACAGCAAGCTGGTGTCCGGCAACTGTCTCTGCTGCACCACTCTGTCTATAGACTGTGCTGCGAGCATTCGGGCATTGCGTCCTAAGTTGAAACCTGGAAACAAAATATTAATAATTAGCAACTAGGAAAACAAAAACAAATTTACCCCACGGGGACCGTACATTTTTCCGGGATAAAGAGTAGCCTATGTGTTATTCCAGACTATAAACTATCTCTGTGCCAAATTTTATCCAGATCCGTTCAGCCGTTCTGGCGTGAAAGAGTAACAAACATCCATACTCACAAACTTTCACATTTATAATATTAATACAGATTATTACAATATGAAATTTTAAAATTTAAAAAAATATGTTGGAACAGTAACACACAGCACCATCTAGTTCCATGGTAAGCTACGAGGCTTGTGTTATGGATACCAGATAGTTGATACACTACACATATATAACTTTAAATACACAAACTTTATATACATATTATAAATATAAACACCCATGACTGGAGTACAAACCTTCGTCATCACACAAATGAATGCCCCCAGCGGGACTCGAACCCGCTACCGCCGGCAAAGAAAGTAGGGCCACTACAAACTGAGCCAAACGCGTCGTCGAAAATTAAAATATAAACTAAAAATATCCCACCTCTAAGATTAAATTTTTGAATAATACGTGACTTAAACGCCTGTATTCGTTAGTGGCTATATGCCTCATCCAAGGCGTTTCGACTGGCAGACTTAGTTATATTTGCAATGATTTTCAACTGTGTATAACTATTTAGGTTAATATAATACTTTCCTAGATTTAAGCGAATACTTGACATTTTAAATAAAACTATCTTTTCGGATTTTTTCGCGAATTTATTTTGATTTTTTGGTTCCCGACGTTTAAATATGAAATATTGTAATTTACTTTGGAGCCAATTTTAATTTTTTTGAATTCATTTTGTTAATTGTGGGTACTGGGTAGGCTGTCTGTAAAAACTATATAATACCTTAGAGACATCTAACACCTCAGTCTCTCCCGTGACCATGATTGCTGTAAAGCATTCGAAACGTTGGGAATCAAAAATCAAAATAAATTCGCGGAAAAACCGAAAAGATAGTTTTATTTAAAATGTCAAGTATTCGCGTAAATCTAGGAAAGTATTATATTAACCTAAATAGTTATACACAGTTGAAAATCATTGCAAATATAACTAAGTCTGCCAGTCGAAACGCCTTGGATGAGGCATATAGCCACTAACGAATACAGTCACGTATTATTCAAAAATTTAATCTTAGAGGTGGGATATTTTTAGTTTATATTTTAATTTTCGACGACGCGTTTGGCTCAGTTTGTAGTGGCCCTACTTTCTATGCCGGCGGTAGCGGGTTCGAGTCCCGCTGGGGGCATTCATTTGTGTGATGACGAAGGTTTGTACTCCAGTCATGGGTGTTTATATTTATAATATGTATATAAAGTTTGTGTATTTAAAGTTATATATGTGTAGTGTATCAACTATCTGGTATCCATAACACAAGCCTCGTAGCTTACCATGGAACTAGATGGTGCTGTGTGTTACTGTTCCAACATATTTTTTTGAATTACTGTAACAAATGGCAAATACATATCAATTTTAGTATATGCAAAAAATTTCCAAGCCGCAAAGTGTCTTTTTTCTGTTGAAATACACAGACGCTAACGATACCAACAAAATATTAAGCATTTTCATAGAGTGAAAATAGAATCGTATATATCATGGCAACCCAGATAACGGGTTATAAAAAAAACTATGGTCTTGTTATTTTGATATACCAATTTTACTAAAACTCCTTTTTGCTCAAAAGTAAGTTTTTGTGGTTGGATTTCTTTTGCATAACTACGTCCAACTAGGGATGCGATTAATTTGACGTGTAATGTCTATGTGTGAATGTATCTGTGAAACACAAAAGTTTACTTATTGACATTTAATTTAAATTTCAAAAATATAAAAAGTGACGATTCATAAGTGCCTGCAGAAGTATATTTTGATTGATTGAAAAAAATATTTTAATTTACTATTTTAAATGAGAAAAGATGGCTTCATTTAAAAAAATGAGTTTCATTATACTGTGATAAATGAAGTAAGTTAACCAATTTTAAAGCGTACTTTCTCTGTCCAAACTCACCTCTCAACCACTCCGACATGGGGAAGCCACATCCCCCATCCCCCCCGTACTGCTGGAACACATCATAGAGCTGGTCATCCACACTTTCATTGAGATGGTGGTAGCAGCACGGCACGTTGAACACGGCGGCCGTCCAGGGTTGGCTGGCGAAGATCCTGAGGGAATCTGGGCCTAAGTTGCCGCACGTGTGAAGACCTGGAAAGGAAAATTGTTACTTTATCTCATAGAGACATATAGTCGCGCTTTGATAACTAGTTGAGTAACAATCTATACTACTACTATTATAAAGAGAAAAGTTTGTATTTTTATATGTTTGTAATGAATAAACTCAAAAACTACTGGACCGATTTAGGTGAAACTTGGTAAGAAGCTTGAGACACTGGGATATATTTTTTTATTCCGGTAATCATCCCTTAAGGCGGTGAAAATGGGGATGAAAATTTGTATGGGCATTCAATCTAGGGACGAACCCGAGCGAAGCGAGGTTGACTTGCTAGTATCTTCTATGTTACTCCGGTTTATAATCTTTCTGTGTATCAAATTTCATCCAAATCTGTAAAAAATAATTCAATTTTCTTGTTAATGGCTTCAAAGCTTGCCAGTTGAGCACAGATTACTTCGCCAATGTCACGTGAAATGGAGAAGACACGAAGGAGATTGTTCGGTGGCTTGCAAGTAATGTAAATTGACATTGTTTTCTGTACTTAGATTCGCATTTGGCCTTTTGTACGTTGGACTTTCACAGTAATAATAATAATAAAAATTCATTCAAGTCATTTTCATAAATGCCAAAGGCAACCCCTTGTATGGACTGGTTTAATTTCTTTCGCTAGTTTTGAAACTCAGATCATAATTACGAGTAGAATTACTGGCGTAAAAAAGATACCAAAAAGTTGCATAACCTTTTGTGAGTGAGTGTAACCTTAGGTCTCATCACGAACAAAGAAAATTTAATTCAAAAAAATATCAATAGATGACGTTACATGTATCGATTTGTTATTAAAACTGTGTTATATTAACCAAAGATAAAAAATAGAGCCCAAGAAAGTATGTTATTGTTTTAAAAAATATTCTAAGTGAAAGGAAAAGAAATAATGCGATCATAGGCGTAATTATTAATCAATTATTGAAATATTAGCAATTAGATGATGGGTTTGTAGTGTATATCCATAGATGGCGCTTTTACTTTTTATGAATTGTTTATAACGGTTAAAAACACTAAAAAAATATATTCAAATGCAGAATAATTTTATATGAAATTTATGAAATAAAACAGTTTAACTATTTGTGAATCAACGACATCTATTATCTGTTCAGGTAAACAAAAATAGCCCGAAGAATAGCCTGTATTAGCGCTGTCCAATTACTTTGTATGGGATGAGGCATCTGTACTAAAACAGTATTATGTGATCTGTGTTGTAACTTATCTGAAAAATAAGTATAGCTTAACTAATAAATAATATACAATTCCCACCAGTCAACAACAATTTAACATCTGTATCAGAATCTTCCGGAAACTTTTGCTTTATAATTTCAGCGAAGTTTGTATCCTTAGTTATAAAGGTAGATGCAAATCTATGTATGTTGCTATTTATGTTCCTTGAAATGTTCTCTAGGCTCCCATTTTGTATCCTTTTCGCTATAGCGTGCCATTGTTTCTGGGAAAGATATACGATTTTTTATCTATAAATAACAAAAACTTTTCTAAAAATAAATAAAAACTGATTTCAAAAGAAGAAACACTAAAAGTAAAGAATAACTGATTGGTAGTTTTCATTTACTATTGATACCTAATTAGATATTTTTGAAGTCGGTGTGCTTTGTGTATCGGCTGGCATCGACTTCGAAAATATTTTTCCAAATTGGAAGTATACACTTTAAAATAAAAGACAAATTATCCAAAACGGTTAATGGCGGAGTTTTGAGGTAACACAGATAAAAGAACCTCCTTTTTAACTCCCGACGCAAAATGAGGGGTGTTATAAGTTTGACGTCGATGTCTGTCTGTGTGTGTGTGTGTGTGTCTGTCTGTGTGTGTGTGTGTGTCTGTCTGTGGCATCGTAGCTCTCAAACGGATGGACCGATTTCGATGCCATTTTTTCATTGGAAAGCCAGTTTCCTTGCGGTGGTTCTTAGCTATATTTGGTTAATATCGGTCCAGCAGTGTAAGAGCATCAGCTCTTTTCCAAAATGATGTAAGGCATTTTAGCGTATGATTACACGATTAAGTGCTTCACGCGTTTCAGTATCGATTATACTATTAAATGACAATTTGCGTCGGGGTTTTTTTTATTGTTAATTTATTGAAGAAGTCGTTTGAAAATGAAATTCTGTTTATTCGTAAGAACATCATTTGAGAACGATTGGACTGATTCGAATCTGATTATTAAATGTTGTATAAGATTTTTTTAAATAAGTAAAAGTTGACCGGAATATTCTAAAAAATCCGAAAAGAACCTCAGAGTTATTTATATTGAAACTTTGTATAAGCTCAAACATCACAAAAAATATATTGAAACTCGGACAAAACAATGTCATTCAAGTCAGCTAGCCAATAATTTTATTATATGAATGTATATTGTATATGTATATATTACCTGTATTATCTTAACTCTTTTCTCTGCGTTCTCAATAGTCTTTTGATCGCAGTCCACAGTAAGACTTTTCATATTGTAATAGAGTGTCAAAGCTATGGGCAAGTTGCCCTTACCTCCCCCCGCTTCCACGCAGTGGGTTGCTCCACACGCACTATTCAGTGAAGCTATTAAATTCGACATAGTTTGCACCTGGAAAGAATTATTACATGTACAAACTTTTATCCCCATTTTCACCCCCTTAAGGGATGATTTCCGGGATAAAAAGTATTTTACGTCCTTCCCAGGGTCTCAAACTATATTCTTACCAAATTTCATCTAAATCGGTTCAGTAGATCCAGAGATTATCCCCTACAACCTCACAAACTCACAAACAAAATCTCTTTATAATCCCTCAACGACCGCGGACACGCCGGCGTTACAGTTAACAATAGATTTCTTAGAAATTTAATTAACTTCTTAGAAATTTACCTGGAGGTAATTAGATATATATTTCCAAAAAGCTGGGATTTAATTACATTTAATTCCATTTATACATACATTTTTTTCATTTCTTAAATTTAAAAATGGAAATTCCATTTCCATTTTTATTTCAAGGTTCTTATTATTTTAAGTTTATTATATCTTCGCTTTGTATAAACATATAAACAATTCCTACATGTATTTAACAAAAATTGTTACATTAAAATTGTCATTAAAAATATGTAAGTAATCTAATAATTGACATTCATACTATTATAGTCACAGTAATTATTATTAGGCAGTGGTAGCCCAGTGGTAACGCACTCGCTTTGTAAACTGAGGGATACCGCTTTAAATCCCAGGTCTTACACCTCTGATATTTTCATGTCCAAATCATTTCCAACATGATTACCACTTGTCTTACGTTGAAGAAAAACATCGTGAGGAAACCTGCATGTCTGAGAGAACCTAGCAATAGCAAGTTCTCGAAAGACATGTGAAGTCCACCAACCCGCAATTAGCCAGCGTGGTGGACTATGGCCTAATCCCCCTAGTACTGAAGGAAGGGACGCCCAAAAAGGCTGAATAGAGTAATAATTATTATTTGTGTATTTAAAAAACACCTCACCTCATAACTCTTTTTGCTTGTCATGAATTCAGTTATTTGTACTTGTGGTTTGACGGTCCCTCCCCATGACTTTATAAGTTCTTGCAATTGGTCGGTTGAAATGCAATAGTTGTTGTTGAGAATGACACAGTGTGATTTGGTATTATGTATCCATTTGGATAGTGGATTATTATCTTAAAGAAAATATATGATAAAAATTAATAGGAGCTTTATAATAAGGCTTTAAATTAATAAAATAATAATTCAGTGCTTTTTTTCTATTCAATGCAAGATGCAGCAGGCTAAAGTCCAACATATTAGTTAAATGCAGATTGACAGACCTTAGGTCTTTCAAAAACTAGTCACAATTTCGTTCACCATATTACTATAACAAGGTCTAAAAAATTTCATAAGCGAAACCTAGGAGAAAAGAGCTTACTTCACTGCATTTTTCTAACAAGCACCAAACTCAATCATATAAGCTACTAAAGAAGTTGGGATGAAACTTAGCACAAAGATAGATTGTGTCTTTGAATAATACATATATAGGATACATTTTATCCTGGTCATGCTATAATAAAATTGCACTATAACATACCTACCATATCCCCATTGGCATTTCTCCAAAACTGATCAACAACATCATTCATGTCACTATCATTTAAATATTTCCTTAAATCATATGGTATTAACTTCTCCCAATGGTTTTCAGTGAAAAACTCAACCATGTGACAGTTCGCGAGGGGTAAAAGTGGTGTGAGGAATTTAATTGTACTGTCTAATTTTTGATGCAATTGTCCTATAGTGTTCATTTTGTATTTAGCTGTAACGTTTTATATAATATTTGATAAGTTTTATCACAATAAATGTAGGTAGTAATGTATTGCTTAATAATTTGTTTTTTAAATAATAGCAAATTAAATTAAAATTATTACTTTTAATTAATTTTAACTTTTTCAAATTACACATAGATCAATTATGTGGCTTAAATAATTAATATTTTATTATTTTTTCTTTATGGTTATAAATATAATAATGTCAACACTAAATAAAGATTAATTACCAATTAATATTTTTAAAATTGTAATAATCATAATAATAACAGCTCAAATTAAATTATAAAAGTAATTAAAATTATAAAAATGTTTAAAGTTAAAAAATATTGTAAGGTACTTTGGTGCCATTTTTCAATTTTTTGAATTCATTTTGTTATTTGTGGGTACTGGCTAGGCTGTCTGTAAAAACCTTAGAGACATCTAACAGCTCAGTCTCTCCCGTGCCCATGATTGTCATAAACTCATGTAAAGCATTCGAAACATTGGGATCCGAAAATCAAAATAAATTTGTGAAAAAATCCAAAAAGATAGTCTTATTTAAAATGCTATTAATAACTTTATAAATTATTAAATTACACAATGAACAAGTCTTATGTATGTATATTTATTTTAAAACATCTCACCTAGCAAATTAAGATGTTTAGAAAGAAACCTCAGTGTCATAAGGATTTGCTGATGAAATTTTTAAAAGTGCACAAGCTTTTTTATACTGAGACCTTATATTTTCAGCCAAACCTAAGATATCATCTTCTTCAGAATTTGTTCGAGGGAATGTATCTATGAGGTCTTTTACTTTTTCTAATTGTTTCACAATTTTTTCTGAGTAATTACTGGCTGAGTTTTCGAGGTGGTGAGACACTATTCCAAGATAGTACCCTAAAGAAATAAGAAAAGATAACATTAACTTATATTTACTTAATAAATAATATAATAGTATTTAATTTGTTTGTATGAAATATGTACACATAATAAATTAGTCATATTGAGACTTTTTTTACAAGTTCATTAAATAAGTATTTAAAATATTTCTTACCGAGTTCTCTTCCTAGTTCTGCACCTTTGTGATATCCTAAATGATACCCTTCTGGATTTCCTGATTCGCATCCAATTTTATACCCCTCCTCATAACTTTTTTGACATTGTATATTTTCACTTAAAAATATATTTTCAAGAACATCATTAAAGTCTGTTTCTTCTGCCATTTATAAGTTTCCTGTTCAGTTTATAAAATTATGTTTAAATTTTACAGAAATGTATGTTTTATAGTTAATCTTTATAAAGATATTAGTAGCAAAATTTATAAATTAAAATTCTATTTTCTATGAGGATTGAGGTCCTGCGGATATGAGTTATGACCATGGATGACAAATAAAATAGATCAGTATATATCTATACTCTTTGAAATAGATGAATTTGTTTCGTTATGACTAACTTATCAATTAACATGTCAGTTGTCACTTGTCTTAATAATTAGGTACAGATAAAGTAATTATTATTTTTCGCTTAACACAGATAAAATAATATTTAAGTATACCGAAAAATAATTATTAAATATGTAAAGAATCATGTGATACATGACATAATTATGTTAATATAATATTATAAAATTGATCAACGGTTAATAGTATTTAATGCGTTTTGATCATTACTACGAGTTTGACCTTGAGGCTTGAAGTAACGCACTTAGAATAGTTAAATCAAATGCAAAATGTCAAATCATTCATCTAAAGTCATCTGATTTTGGCATTAGTTTCAAATTTTAATTGCATTGAACTTGTTTAAAAATTAATAAATATTATATTTTTTGGTGTAAATATTTAAAAAAACCTGACTTAGGCCCTATCATGACTCGGATCATTTCTACAGCAGAGGTTAAAAAACACAAGCACAAGGATAGTGTTTGGACAATAATTCATGATGATGTTTACGATGTATCTAGCTTCTTAGAAGAGGTAAAAAACATATTAATTAAATATGTATCATCATTTATATAAATCTTTGCTAGATTTCTGTTTATGAAAAATTCTTGAATTATCGTGAGTAATCGAAAGTGTATGTCATTGACCTTATTTCGAACAGCTGATTGCATTTATACTAAATCTTGAAAGAAAACTCTTACTACAGTAAAATCTACAGATCATATTATTTATAATAAATAATTAAGACAATATTTCTTAAAATACTTATATTGTCTTAATTTTTTGTACCATTATACTTGATTTTATTATACTTACAGCGGAAGCGAAAACACAAAATCAAATTATCCCACGGGAACCGTACATTTTTCCGGGATAAAAAGTAGCCTATGTATTATTCTGTAATATGAGCTATATTATTGTAAAGTTTCATTAAAATCCATTCAGTACTTTTTTTGTGAAAGAGTAACAAACATCCATACATCCATACTCACAAACTTTCACATTTATAATATTAGTATGTTTTATTTTATTTTCCCGTCCAATACTGTTAGGCAATGTTTTAAATGTAAAATATTAAATTTAGCATCCAGGAGGAGAAGACTCATTACTTGATGTAGCAGGTCAAGATGGAACACAGGGATTTGAAGATGTTGGTCATAGTGAAGACGCCAGGTTAGTCTTAATCAATTTTTAATAGTTTCATATGTACATACATATACTGGGCATTGTTTTAAATACCTACAAATACATATTTTAAAAATATTGTAATGTTTACTTTATCTGTTTGTCTCTTCTCTTTTTTTATCTTTACTATTAGACTTAAATATTTGTATAATTTATCAACACAATATTTATATTTAGAAAATTCGTTTTTTCTAAAATTTGATTTGTGTTCATTTAGTTAGTTTTATTTTGTATAGAGTGTAATGACTTAAAACATTTTATATTACCACTCGTATTTTTAGGGAACTACTGAAAAAATACAAAATTGGTACATTGCCACCTGAAGAGAAGGGAAAGAATGTTGATCCTTGGTAAGTTATCATAAAAAGTTGGATTTTAATAACTAAACTTAAACATATAACAACATATAACAACTAGATGTATGTATAATATTCTAACACACGCAAAATAGGCGCATAGTCGTCGAGTTGCGGAAAATAGCCCGAACATACCATACCATAGACGCACGTATATAGATTTGGATATTATTACTGTACATTTTTTCCCGTTCATTTCACCGTCCCGCACCCCACGCTCCTAAAACTACGCGATGCATTGTTCACGCACTAATGTCAGGCGCAACCTTGTCTTTACCAGTTTATTATGTTTAAACTGAGTTTCCTGGAATATAGGTTCTTTTATCGTCAAGGTTTTTTTGTGCATATTTTACTGACAGACAGATAAATTATCCAAGGAAGAGAGTACAATGAGATAGAAATAAAGTAAAGCAAGTGTTAAAGTGCTTACTAGATAAGGTAATTGGCGGCGCTCTTATGCGCCCTCATAATCTATTGAATTTATATACTTGTCCTCGGCGTTTTTACCTGTTGGACAGTTAACATCTCAAGTTGGATGATCACATTTTCACACACAGTTGCATAGTTTAAGGGAGAAGATGTATGGATACATTCCTCAAAAGATTGTCCAGGTCATCACAGTGATTACATGTTAATCATGATCTTTCTGATGTTATCTGGGGCTTTCAACACGTAATTACAGGTCGAAGTATTTAATTTGCCCGATTTATGGCTCAGTTTTATCGATGTGAGAAAAGACTCGCGAAGAGTACTTAGCGATTTCTCAACTATGTTTTGGTCATATAAATCGTCGAGTATTACATTTTCATTAAGGGCTACAGGGACACCAACAACGACCACTCAGCTCGGGCTAAGTAGTCGTTGGACACCAACAATGACAATTGTTCTAAGTCGTCGCGTAGTAGGTTCTTCAACGTTAAAGCCCGAAGACACTTGTGTCTTAGATTTTTTTATTTTTTCGATGACCTCTTTTATGTCAGTAGGTACTAATTATAACTCCTCCGTTTCTGACGATTCTTAAGCTAAAGAGTAAAGACGTGTAATTTCATTTTCTCCGAAGGAATTATTTTTTTTACTAAGCCTATATATAGCCGTAAGGCTACTTGGAATGTCGTTAAGACAATTGCAAATTGTAGTCCACATTCTAGGGCCCCTATTGAACTTCTTCAACTAACACCCGAGCCTAAAACATCGATTAATAAGGTCAACAGTTATTTTGTCAATGTAGGAAAACTACTAGCAAGTCAAGTCTCGCAACAAGCCAAAGCCAATCTAAGTAACGATATGGCACTTGGATATTCTTGCCATTCCCTTGGTTTATTGCCAGTGAATGTTAATGACATTGAACAAATTATTGGCTCCCTGCGCAGTGACTGTGCTACTGGTTATGATAATATTCCCGCTAAAATATTAAAGCAATCATGTTCGTCATTAGCAATTCCTCTTAAACACATTTGCAATCGTGCCATTGAGACTGGAACTTTTCCAAGCTCCTTCAAGAAAGCTGTCGTACAACCAATTTTTAAGAGTGGGGATAGATTTGATATTGCGAATTACCGACCAATTTCAATTCTAAGCTCTCTTTCTAAAGTTCTTGAAAGAATACTAAATAATAGCCTCGTTGCTTATCTCACAAAATATAACATTATTGCTACTAACCAATATGGGTTCAGGGCGGGTATATCGACGGAAGATGCTGTCATTGATGTTACTAAATCTATCGTCGATAAACTAGACCGAAAACAAAAATGTTATGGCATATTTCTCGATTTAACTAAGGCCTTTGACACTGTCTCTATCCCTTTATTAATATCAAAGATGGAAAGGGTCGGAATTCGAGGAATCGCATTGAAAATCTTTAGCGATTATCTCACAAATCGTACCCAACGGGTGAAAATTGATAACACAATCAGTGACGACCAAACAATCCGCTTCGGTGTACCTCAAGGTAGCATTCTTGGCCCGACGCTGTTCTTAATATATATTAACGATTTATGCCAACTGCAAATTCCAAAGTGTGATATATTTACATATGCTGATGACACTGCTCTCATTGTTTATGACTCAAACTGGAATGAAGCAAAATTAAGAACAGAACAGGCGCTGCGCCAAGTAATGGAATGGCTTTCTAACAATTTATTAACCCTAAATTTAACTAAGACGAAACTCATCCGCTTTACTTTGCCTAGCAATTACGGGCCGCCTCAAGAATCTGGACTTATTAAAGCTCACACTTGCTTAGGAAACAAAATAAACTGTTGCTGTCCATCCTTGCAATTGGTGCCGGATACTAATTATCTAGGTATTCGTATTGACGCTAAGCTGAACTGGCAAAAACATATTGAAACTCTGTGTTCAAGACTAAGGAAATTAATATATATTTTTAAGGAACTGAGACATTCAACCGATGCTGAAACTTCTAAGCTCGTGTATAAGTGTTTATGCCAGTCTTTAATAATATACTGCATCCCAGCTTGGGGTGGAACTCATAAAACTTCCATGCTGGCATTAGAAAGAGCGCAAAGGGCTATTCTAAAAGTCATGTACTTTAAGAAAAGAGATTTCTCTACTGCTCAACTATATCTTGAGACCCAAGTGTTGACAGTTAGACAGCTGTACATTCTTCGCTGTATATTGCGAAGACACAGCGCGACACCAATCGATGAAACAAAATTAAGAAGGCGCCAAGGTTTACCTGTATCCGAACCTGTTCTATGTAATACTGCCCTAGCTCGTCGTCAGTTTGTTGCAGCAAGCACTATGTTATATAATAAATTAAATAAAATAATATTCATATATTCTTCTTCCAAATTTAGTGTCAAAATAAAAGTGTCTAAATGGTTGCAAAAGTTATCGTATGAAGAGACTGAGCTCTTTTTAACAATTCCGTCATAATATCTTGTATATATATATATATATATATATATATATATATATATATATTTTAATGTATAAATAAAGTCTTCTTCTTTTATCCAAATATGATGCATATTTATAATATAAGTTGTTGATATTGTTGAAGCACTCGCATGACATATAAATAGTTGTAAATTCAATTGTGAAAGCGGAACGACTATCACCTAAAATACAGGCTCTGGCTTAGTTTAGGAGATAGTAGTTTAACTTATTTTTGACACTTTTTGTACAACTTGCTTTACTTAGTTTAACCCCTTATATTGTCACTTTATATATAGTACAATAAATAAATTATTATTATTATTACTAAGGATTTAGTCTCTTCACTAGATTTTGTTTGGTCATTGGGGTAGATGGCAACAGTGCTCAGGTTATTGGGGCGAACAAAGTTATCGGCACCTTTTTATAACGTATCGGCAAAAGAGCTATTTTCCGATGGTTTAAGCTTTTACTCAACATTTTTTTTAATTTCTTGAAGGGAGATAGATTGCTACATCCTGCTCTTCTCGTAGGTGTTTCACTGTGCTATACGCGTGCGAGCTCTTAAAGATTGGTACAAAATTGCTATCTGAGGGGTACCCCCTGTAGCTTTGCGGCAAAGATTTACGACGCGTAATTTTTGCTCTGTGTTCATTTTGCTATCTTAAGACCACTGAGCAAATTTCATTTAAAAGTGACCCTGTTTTCAAGCCACTTTTGAATCTCCAAAGTAGTTATGATTTCAGAGGGCAGTTTAGTATTCATGGCCAATGGGCATGGGCCGTTTTCTTGCACAGGGTAGGATTGAGTAGGCGTAGGTGAGGGACTTCGTTGTATCAGTTGACTGCGGCCAATAAGACTAAAGCCTGGATTTACCATCTCTACCATAGCAAACACAACTTGTTTATAATAGTAAATCCAGATCATACTTGAAGCTAACAATAGAAAGTATGCACTCGTGACACACTTATATTAGGTACTTACGCAGCGTAAATACTTATTTTGTTCGTAATTATTAAATATGTCCGCGTAGAAAGAAAAGCAGTTTGACAGTTAATCAGAAAATTAGAAATTAATCATTTAAATACTATAAGTCAACTTTAACCTATATGTAATTTTCATAATTTATGAAATTTTACATTTAGATGTAATTCTAATGACAATGTAATTTATATGGTACGGTCACAGACGTAGAGACTGTGCGATAATGTCATGAAATTGACAGAAAGAGAGAAAACGAACATGCAGCCAATACGCATCCTTTATTCCAATTTGAATTTATAAATGGAATGCGAAAAATTATAATATAATATTATAACGGAATGTAAAATGGTTTTACATATTTATCTTAATAAATCACATTTTAATTACATACATCATCAAATATATACAGAAGACTTCTGGTCGAGCATTCGTTTTGTCTTTGTCGCGCCTGACCGCCATTTTTAGCTGACGGCAGAGAAACACTAGTCCACGGTCTGACAATTATGCCAAATAAGTATGCATGGCAGATTTAAAAATGTTTTTTTTTCCACACTTAAATAATTTTCTTAATTTATTTTTGCTACAGTAACAATAATTTCAAATGTATGCTTTACAGTTGTGAAACAAGAGTAAAAAGGAGATCAAGGTTATCAGCCAATTTTATATAATGTTGATTATTTCAGATAGTAGCAGTAATTGTATTATTGCTTATCTGTCAGATTAAATATGAATAGGCATAAATGCCATTTCGTAGGTATTAAATTAGAATATTTCTTTCAAATTCGTCGACCTCTCATAAACTTTCGCATTAATTGTAATAAAAGTTTGCGTAATAATAACGGTACGGTACTTTAGTTTCATCTTTTATTTATTTAACCGATTGAAATTAAATATATTTATGTTTTAATTAAACTAATCTATAAGAAGAACAGTCCCATCGAAATAGGTCCAGTCGTTCTCGCATCACTATGCACGATTAAAGACACAAATAAAAATTCTAACATTTGTTTTGGCTTCCATCATATCACGAACATTAAGAATTTTTTTTTTGAAAATATCAATTCGTACTCTGTTAGGTTTATGTCCATACTAATTAATATTATAAATGAGAAAGTGTGTTTGTTTCTGTGTCTTTTTGTTTGTCCTTCTTCGAAACAGTGACGGATTGGCGTGATTTTGTTGTGTGGAGATAGTTGGAAGGCTGGAGAGTGACATAGGCTACTATTTACCGCGGGAGATTATCTTATTCCCATGGGAAACACTTTATAATATAACCTACAACAACTCATCATATATATATATATATATATATATATATATATATATATATATATATATATATAATATAGTCCATCTATTCTATGCTAACCGTAACGTTTATATTATACGAATGTAAATACATAAACATAATATGAGGATTCTATTCGTTTTTGTAGTTGGCATTTGGCAACTTATTTGTAAATTGATTGTTAGTTGCATTTTTTTTGTAAACTTGATTTTTTGAGATCTAGATTAAATTAGTTTTTATGTTATGTTAAATTAATAACTTTTAATATCATTATCCATTATTAAATGAGTAATTATGAATTATGATAATATAATGTTCACAGCTCAAAATCAAAGTGTTCAATATGTTCTGCTGCAAGGTTATTGTTATCAATATTCGATTTATGTTTAATTTTTTTATTATTATTTTTATTTTTTAATTACACGGTTATAATTCAGCTGTCCGCATATACCAATATTGGAAAGGAGTGGGAGAACATGGAGGACATACGATGGCTCATCAAGCAGGTCCTACAATATTAATTTACTCATATACATAATATGTATTTTGAAGTTTAAGAATTGAAGTTCTTTAAATAATCTTTAACATTTGGCCACAGTCGACCACAAGTGCAAAAGTCAGAATTTAAATTGCCAACACCACCGAGAGTAGAAAGACGAGTGCAATCTATTCTGGTTCCCAAACAAAGGTTTATTTATAATTTTTTTAATGATAAAAATAAAATTTGGTAGATACTTAATGAAAAACGCGGAAAAACGTTTGAAATAAATCTGTCTTATATGTTCAATTCAATTCCCTTGTTAATGGCTGCAAAGCGTATCGTAACCGTTATCCCAATTGAGCATTTATATGATAAAATGCTCAAGTCTCAGTCAAAATAATTAGATTTACTTTTTTTCGAAATATTAACAGACTTTCGTATTTATGTTCAATATACATAATACATAAGTCAAAACCATAAACTTTTTCAATTTCGTCTTAATCGAATAAAAATATAAAAGTTAGATCCATCAAATAATCTTTATACTAATTTAATTATAAAAGATCGATGAATACTTTATAGTTCACATTGAAAAATAGGTCAATGAGTTCAATGACTAAACTTTTTTCTTTTTTTTTACACAAGAGTACCTCGAGAGCCACGGCCGCGTGGACAACCGTGTGAAAGGTTTACAATTGCATAATTTTGTATTAAAGTATTCTTGTAGATTTATTTTAGTTTTTGAATTCGCATCATGGTAGTAATAAAAAACATAGACATGAATTGACATTAAAATACTTTATCATAATTCTTGGATAGGTACAGATAATAATTATCTTTAGTTTTAAAAAAATAATCCTTAATCGCCAAAGTCAAGAGTGGGTACTGGGTACGCTATGACGTTTACCTATTTCATTAAAAAAAAGAGTGTACATATGTTTAGTATTTAGGTTCCTAATTTTAATGAACTATTTGAAGGATTAGAACCTTCAATCTTTTGCTATTTAAAAAAAATCAAACCTCAAAATTGGAAGGGAAGAAAAGCTTAGAAAAATTAAAAGTATTAGAGTCAGAAAATAAAAAATAAATAAAAATCTAATTATAATACACCTGAATGAAACATAGTTTCGCTTCTTTTCTACGGCAGATATCTACAACTAAACTGGTTACTTCCAGTAAATTAACAATATCTCCATTTCAGAAAAGGACATATTTAGAGTATAATTTAATAGTAAATGTGTGCAAAAATATTTCATTGTATTCAGCCCTTTTTTTTACCGTCCCACTGCTGGGCACGGAGCTCCCTTCAGTACGAGGGGAATCAGGCCATAATCCACCACGCTGGCCAAGTGCGGGTTGGCGGACTTCACATGTCTTTCGAAAACTTGTTAAGTTCTCTCAGACATGCAGGTTTCCTCACGATGTTTTCCTTCACTGTAAGGCAAGTGGTAATCATGTTAGAAATGATTCGCACATCAAAATATCAGAGGTGCGAGACCTGGGATTTGAACCCGCCTCACTCGGTTTCACAAGCGATCGCTTTACCACTGGGCTACCACTGCCTTTTATTATTTATTTCATATATATATATATATATATATATATATATATATATATATACATGCTTCAATACATAAACTTAACATATGTTCCTACACTTGGTTATTTATTTCACCAAATTGATAAGAAATACGAGTATAATCCATTAAACTGTTCCTTATTGTAAGAATTTTTCTCTAACCAAAGGCCGGTATAAGAATAACAAGTCACACTTTACCATATTTATTTCATTTTTACATTACTTATTTGACATAATCACTTCATATTCCAAGAATTTAGGTACATTATTATACATTTAACAATCACTTCAGCTCACTCCAGAAAATACACTGATATCCTTTAACAAAATTATATTTTTAACCTTACAATTTTTCCACTTAAAAATTAAAAAGTATGTATAGGTTTTGACTTTATTTAAAGAATCAGAACTCATACTAAATACAGTGGTTGGTGTTGCCATATCTACAAGCTTGGCAGAAATACGTATTTAATTTGACGCTAAATAATAATGATACCTATTATTTTTCTATTCTCATACGTAATAGTTCATAATATTGCTAACACTATATTAATTGAAAACTTCGCCCTCGACTTGCGTTTTTCTACTGACCGGATATCGGTCCATTGTTAATTCATATAACTAACGAACAGCTATTTACACGCGCAAATAGCATTACTCGGTTTGAAAGTAATAATATGATTACTGTAAGTACTTGCACAGGATCTATAAGATCTGAATTTATTTGATCCACCAGGGCTGCAGCCCCCGGTTCCCTCACATGAACAGAACTTATAGAAACTACTAATGTGAGGACCCCTCAGTCAAAAATTGACCTATATCTTATGATACATCTTTTATGTGAAATGAATGGACCAGTTTTTGTGGCAAACTAAAAGAGAGCCAAAAATCCTTTCAATTTTTTTATTAGGGACCTCCACTACTTAATTCCTCCGGCCCCCAAACTTTTGTATCTCTACTTGTCTCCTGTTACTATCCAAAACAACAGCTACATTTGATAACTGTTTGTGATTCAGTATATAATACTTAGATTAAGATAAATTCCTATCACAATAGTATTTAATATTTACAGATAATGTCGTTAAATTAATAATCGTTTGCAAGCACCATAATATTTTATTTATAATGAGTTTACTCGTAAACATACTATAATTATATAACTATTTTGTAAAGTAGCTAATGGTTTTGTAAAATAGCTGATTCTAGGACCTTTTATTTATTTTTAAAGGATGGTGTACATATTTCGACAAAGTGATTTAATTTCCGAAGCATAAACAAATTATTTGACTTCAGCATTTCACAATTCAGCCAGCGTTTGGAAGTAGACATTTTGTAAATTGACCAGTAAATAATATGCCTTCGGCAAATATAACACTTTAAAATTTATGTATATGAGATTTGACTAGACCTAGTCTTAGTATTCGTCAAAAATTTACTTTTCTCTAGTTTAATTCTTATCTTTGTGTGTACGTAGTCGGTTGTGTTGAAATAGAAAGTATATTACAAATATACATTCATTCATATTACATACATTCTTTTAGAAATGTCATCGAATTCTCACGTCGATAAGTAGGTTAAGTTAGTTGTGTTTCTAGATTCGTTAGCAGACTTAGTTATTTCATAAATTTCTAATGGAGGTGATAATAGTATTTATTAAAATACATAGTATTAATTTTAATCTTTTTTACTTAATATGCATTTGTAGCTTGAAGTTACAGCGACTACTGACATATTGCAGTTTACCGAAACGGTTTTTGTAAACATTTGGTTGGTTGTATTCAAAATTTGATACGGTTAAATAATTGATTCGTATATTTGGTAAATCGTATACAAAAACCGATTCGGTAAACCACATTGTATGTACGAAACGGCTTACATCACAAGTCGATGCGGTAAACCGAATAAAATAAGAAAAACGTATTAATTTGATCACGTGGACGTTTTTTTTGCCAATACGTCTAACTGTATATGATTTCCGAACCGATACGTTAAAACCGTAGAGATGTGAAATGTCTGATACATATTATGTAAGTTTTATACTATAAACATATTTTTTTATTTCATAAAATCCGTTCAGTAGTTTTGTCATGAAAAACTAATAACCATCCACCTTCCCAAACTTTCGCGTTTATATAATATTAATTATAAGATTACGCAAAAGGCTATTAATATAATAATTATATGAAAATTTTACCAAATGCAACCTCTAAAGCGAAAAGGAGTGGCAAAATTTGTAAAGGAAATGATATTTTAATATATTTTTTCAGCCCAAGTAACCTCAAATGGTATCTACTGGCGCTCGCCGGGGCTTTAGTAATTGGCTTCGCTTTGAAGAAGTATCTCGGGAACAAATAAACTTACAACACAGTATTTTTGGTCCAAAATTAACTGGTTAGAACCAGTTAGCTAGCTATAAGCTATCCTTGCCTGTGTCACTATAATATTCCTACATATTTTAACTATTTGCCTCTAGTGTTACCATTTAAATATTTTATATACAAGTGATGCTAATTAAATATCTTTTGAGGTATTTTTACAATTTGCATTTATTTATTAGGCGTTTGTTATTTTCTGGTGTAAGTACTTATTTTGTTAAAGTACAAATATTTATATACTCAATACATTATAGTATTGGAAATTATTAACTTAGTACTCGATGTTTATAGATATGACAATAAAGTAGTGTCCAAATATTAATGTTTTTTATTTAACACTAGGAACTTACCCTCGATTCGCTCGGATTCGTCCCTATAGTACATTCGCGTTAAGAAAATAGTAAGTCATCAAGTGCAACGGCAGGTAAAGAGGTGTATACAAAGCGAGAGTAAAAATCAATTCAAATTTCAAAAGGTTAAGTTTAATGGATAAAAATCAACTGAATGACTTTATTTTGATCTGAGGTAATTAATAAACATAATTAACTTAAATAAAAAAATCATTAATTATAACTATAACAAATTAACAACAAACATTAATTATATATATAAGTTTACCTTTCAACTGGTCATTGTGAGCTCAACTTTTATAATTTTAAGAAACCTAATTGGTCGGGGGGCGTGGCTAGGCCAGTGGACACCGATGACTCACATTTTCTTAACGCGAATGAACTGTAATTTCATTACAATCGGATCACTGGTTCAGGAACACATAGAGAACAAATATACATATATTCGTTTTTATTTATATGCATAATAAAAATAAATAGAAATAAATAGATACATAGTATACGTATATCACACTATTGTCCATTTGTCAGTGTTCAAAGTTGTAACCATTTCCTACAAAAAGTCAGCCTCGCTCGGTATCGAACCCATGTCATTCAATACAGCAGAGCCAAACCTATACTTCACTTTATACATACTATAAATAAAACTATTCACATGCTAAAATAAATAACTTTATTTACGTTATAAACTGAATATGTACAGGAATAGCCTCATTATAAATGCCATGATATACTTACCTCACACATTACTTTCTATCTCAGGATACGTATTATACATCGCTTTTTTTTCTATAATAATAATAAATATAAAATACTTAATATATATATAATCGTATGCAATTAGGTTTATACCCTAGAAAACCAGATATAATGAACGGGATTTGGCTGAATTTGGATTTTTTGACTTTCTTATACTAAAACTAATAATGTTTTTTTAAGGGTGTCCCATGAAAATGATGCTCCCGTATAGAATGTACCTTTTACAGGTATATTTATGTACGTCCCTAGGTGCGTTATAGATATAGTTATTGCGAGTGTACTTTAGAAGGAAGACTTCATAAGTTATTGCATATTTTTCTGTAAGCCTTATCAAGACCTACGATTTTCTAGTACATTGTTTTGTTTTATCTCTTAGCGGTTCAGCCAGCGTTAGACATGTGAATTTCTAAGAACGACTCGATGGAACCAGTTATTTTGTTTTCTCGTGGGAATGAAAGATTCTCCTGGAGTAAAAGGTATCCTAAATATTGACCCGAGTTATCACTACACAAAATTTAGTTAAAACCGGCTTAGTATTTTTTACGTGAAACGCGCACATCGATTTCGCAAAGAGCAGAATTTTTTAAACGGATTTAGTTTATGGTATTAAAACCCAAAAAAAATATATTCTAATACATTAATTATAAATAGGTTCCGTCATTTTTAATTTATAGTGAGTACTGACTAATTACACTTGAGTAATAAACAATTGAGTGTAGGCCCCGCAAATTGCTAATGCACGCGACCGCCATTTTAGTGATGTCAGCACTAGACAGACGCGTTGAACAATCAGTTGCCGTTGCCAACACTTGCAAGAGTACGCCTATCGAGTTTTGAATAATTATTGTATATTCACACAATTTGTTTGTTTTTAAGTTTTTTGATAATTTGTTGTAAAATGAGTAGGAAAATAACTAATAGTCGTGCCCATAAAATTATTATTTAAATGGACAATTACTTTGGAAAAGAGAAGTCAAAAATATTACTTCAGAATATCACTCAATCGCTTAAAAATGCCTCTGACAACAGTCGGGACGTGGTTATTTTGAATCAAATTTAATAGAAGTCTAACAAATGCTTCAAAATATTCTAAAATAAATATTTTTTGCTGACGGTAAATTTTTGTTTAAAAATGTTAATGAGACAAGGTCCCAGCGCAATAGCAATTTGCAGGGCTTACAATCGATGTAGTTCTCCAAAATTTATAGTTTAAACAAAAATAATAAAGTAATACATAGTATGACAACACTGGATTGAAGGATATTCCCCGACGAATAAGCTCCTATTTTAGCCGCGTACGAAATCGCGTGAAACACATAGTTCTGCTCGTGGACATTATGGAACAGATGAGCGAATGGTCCTGGAACAAAATAAATGTCAAAATCAATCTAAATCAAGATATACTTCATTCAAATAGACTTTTGCGAGCACTGTTGAATCATCAATTTTACTTTTTAAATTGAAATGAAATGTCAGTATGCAAGTCTGTGAGGAATCTACCACCGGCTCGGAAGGCAGTTCTTCTGAGAAGAGCCCAAGAGAAACTAAAAAATTGCTCTTTTTAAATATGATTTTAATTTACAATATAAGTATCAATTGTACATACTCTAATTAAAAATATATGGCTATTTATATTTGTGTAGCGGAATTAATTTTGAGATAACGACTGGCAGTTTTCCTCAATATAAAAAGGATACTTTGTAGATGTCAATGTGTGGAACTAATGTCTGGTTGGGTCTCACGTAGGATAAGCAGGTAGTTATTGTATTACAATATTGTAAACAAATATTATTTTAAAAGAGTAATTGTTGAGTTTCTCTTGGATTCTTCTCAGCAGAACTGCCTTCTAAGCCGGTGATAGATACCTCACGGACTGACTACACTGCCATTTAATATAAATTTAAAATGTAAAATTTATTGATTCAAATTCATTTTATTTAAATTTAAAATATAAGATTGATTTACATATTCAAAAGTGCTTGTAGAAGTCTATCTGAATAAACTATAATTTGATTTGATACGATACAATAACATAAATGACGACCAAATTTAAATTTTAATATAGCTAAAATTGCGAATTTTTCTTAAATAGGTACTAGCGAGGGCTACTTCGCCCGACTGCATCCCTGGTCGCCTTGACCTATCTGTTACTCTTAAGTCGCAATTATCTGAATACTATATGTTATCCAAATCCGTCCAGCCGTTTCAGCGTGAAGTAACAAACATACACACACACTAACTTTTGCATAAACAATACTCGTAGTAGTTAGATTAGACTATTAGTACTAAAAAAAATCTACATAAACTCAGAAAAACTGGTTTTCACTACTTCAAGCATTTAAGTAATAATACTCAAAACAAATATAAAGTACAAACTTGTATACCTAATTCTTGCCTAATTATAGAAACAAATAAAAAAATATACTACCAACCTTTAGCATAAATGATGACGTCATTACCACCATGAATGTTTTCATCCAGCGTGACAGCAGCTACCTGCTCGTATAATAAGGAATCTGTTTCGATAGTGTCGGGGTCCTGCCTCACTATGCGACTGCCGTTGTTGTCACTTTGTATGGAATATTGAAAGGAGCCGGGGCCGCCCGTGCCGTATGCGAGAGTCGTGTAGTTCAGACCGTCAATTGGAGATGGGCCTGTCGTTCCTGTAATAATTATAAAGGAAAGTTTTTGTACTCGAGTATATGTAATAACAATACGGGCAGTATTGTTATCCTGGCCGATTTTGGCGAGGCGGTCGATCTCACTGAGATTACCCATCTGGCGCAGGAGATATTATAGTGCACAAGTGCACTCTCTATTCCTGACACTTTCAAACTTCGGTACGACTACTCGACACGACCTATGAGAGTTAAGGCGCAGGAGCGACAGACAAAACAGAAAAAACTCTAAGGGCCACTTTCATTTCAGGATGTGGGAGTGCTATTTTTCTTTAAATTAATAGATGTTATGATACGGTTTGAAGATAAGTAATCAAGTCAAGACTTTTCATTTTCTATAGACAGACAGACTAATGCAGAACTTACGTATGTACATATTGTGTAATTGGAAAGTAGGAAACTAGTCTACCTGTAAGAACGACTATACGTAAGATCTATTGCAAAAAACAAAACACAGATAGTAAAGTTTAGATGGATGATCTATTATAAAACAACTTAATGAAAATATATATTTTTGGAAGTTTGTTTAGCAGGAATGGATAATATGAAGAGAATGATATCGCTATAAGAATTATAAAACAAATATGCCATGCTGCGGAACTTTACGTTTAAACTTACCAAAAATATTGGACCCTCTTTTCGGATATCCATTGATGGTTAAAGTATGGCTGTGATCACTGGTCACTATCAGGAGGGTGTCCTCCTCGTCGGTCATGGCCAAAGCGACCTTCACTGCTTCCTCCATAGCCGCTGTTTCATCGACAGCGAGCTTGGCGCGACCGCGGTGGTGTGCCATGTCTATGTTTCCGCCTTCTACCTAAAAGAAATGTTTCCTTGTCAGCTTAAAATTTACTTTACTAACAGACATTTATTACATACAGACACCGACGCTATATATGGGATGGCGATAGTATGGTGGAAAGACCTAAGATGTGTTATATAGAATATTTAAGTAGTATTTAGTCAACGAACTAAAAATATAGTTCGTTGTATTTAGTCCTTTTTAACGTCCCACTGCTGGGCACAGGCTTCCCTTTAATACGAGGGGAATCAGGCACTACGTTTGCCAAGTGTGCTTTGGTGGACTTCACACGTCTTTCAAAAACTTGCTAGATTTTCTCAGACATGCAGGTTTTTTCATGATATTTTCCTTCGCCGTAAGTTAAGTGGTAATTATGCCGGAAATGATTTACACATGAAAATATCAGAGGTGCTATACCCGGGATTTAAACCCGCTTCACTTGGTTTCCCAAGCTAGCGCGTTACTACTGCGCTACCACTGCCTTAGGGATCAGCAGCCTTGGGGCAAGTTAGTTGCCAAACTGGTATAACTTGCGCACCCGTTTAGATAAAACATATGATGCAAATCTAAGTTTATTTACTGAGTTAACTTATCTCCGAAAATATGAGTTGGTAATATAAAATGTAAAATATACAAACCATTAGAAAGAATCCATTCGAATTCTTCTTCAACACCTTGATGGCGGCCTCCACCATGTCACTGATAGAAGGCATGCCATTCGGGCCCCTGTCCCTTTCGCTTTCATAACGCATGTGAGCGTTGGCAAATATACCTGTAATTAATTCAAAGTTAAATAAAAGTAACTCATCTTTTACATACATACGTATAATACGTATATTACTTCCTATCTGTTTCACATACATGTACATATTTTTATTCAGTTATCATTTATTATTACTTTATTCAGTTGTACATATTTGTAATCTATACTTATACATACTTATAATAAAACAGTAACAAACTGAAATTTGTACATGAAATATTTTTAAAAATAATGACTTATGTGTTCTGTATAGAACATAGACACTAAAATAGTTATTGAAAGTGTTTGTGTATCTCTATGTCTATGTGCATTTCTTTTCTGTCTTCACAAACAGTAAACTTAATTTTGTATAGTGATGCATATATTTAATTATTCCAAAAAGGAATGGAATACTAGAAAATATTCGAATACTAGAATGTTTTTGTTCATGCAACTAAAAAGGGCGGCAGAGTGTCGAGAGTTCAGTTGAATTTCAGAGCTAAAGAGAAACGAAAATCACTTTTGGCTCGTGAAAAGCCAAAAGTGATTTTCGTGAACCAAAAGCAATTAAACGTCTATAAAACACTAAACATACTTTATTTTACGATCCTAAAACTCATAGAACGTAACGATGTGTAATTTGACAAATATGTTAAGTAAGGCGGTATTAAAAATACACTCAATCCCTCATATTTTCACTGTCGACAAAAATACTGCATTGTCAAGACAAATTAACAAAATATAGAAAAAAAAATCTAAACCTCCAATCATAAAATACAAGCCTTTTACCAAGGAGATAATCAGTCTCGTTCACATCGAAGTCCTGCAACTCTCTATTATTTGAGACTACGCTGTACTTTAAGTTTCTGCTTTGCTTATTCTCCCTGTAGTCTCGGATAAGATCCTTCCCATCCAGTCTGGAGCAACCCCAAGAACTTAGAGGATCATTGGATGTGCCTGTTGTATTTGGAACTAAGGACTGTCTTCCACCTCCCATTATTACCTGAAAATTATAATTTTTCCGGATATTGCATATGGACTAGGGGTCATCCATAGATTGCGTCACACGTTAAGGGGGAAGTGGGGGGTCAACGAAGTGTGACATTGTGTGACAAGGGGCAGGGGGAGTTATAAGCTTCGTGACGTCACATATCAAAATCTAAAGTATTAAAATACAAAACATTCACTGTAAGCGAAAAATTAAAAAAAAATGATCTTTCTTTACGCTATATAAGGTTTATATTGTTTTATTGGCGAATTCTCACTGGGCAGCAAGCGGCTGTTGATGTTGATATTATTAACACCTCCAGGTATATTTCTAAGAAATTAATAAAATTTCTAAGAAATCTATTGTTAACTGTAACGCCGGTGTGTCCGCGGTCGTGGAGGGATTAAAAAAATATTTTTGGAACTGCTGTTTTTATATTATTCAGGTCTGGGTGTAAAATTGCAAAATATGTGACGTCAAAACGGGCGATTCAAAAAAAAATTAAATTCGTGTGACGTAATTGGATGGATCCCTGTGGGACATATGGTAAACTAATTGGGTATATGGGATAGAGTTTGGATTATTAATATTATTATAGAAAAATAAGCTTAGTAATAATAATGACACTCACGTGAAGATCTCTACCGGGGAAGTCTTCGACTAACTGTCTCGCGATATCTTTGCACTGTTTCGCGTCGGCCGGCACGGCGGCGTCGCACTCCCACTGCCGCGCCGCGCTGTGAGCGTACATCGGGCTGGGCGTGGCGTGTGTCACACGCATTGTTGTGACGAAGCCTTCAAAACGGATTATAAATTCATTTATAATATTGAAATAGCGACTCACCCTCTCTCTACTCGGGTTCGTCCCTGGTGAAAATTTAGGTTTGTATGTATTTTTTAATGCCGAATCATAAAAAAATTAAAATAAAATATTTTGTCCAAAAAATAAAAAATAAACATTTTCGGGGCGGACCACTCTTATCACTTAGGGGTATGAAAAATATTTTACGTCCTATTCTCAGACCTTTTTTTTTTTTTTTAACGTTGGGAAATGCATTTACGCACGAAGTGTGGGACTCACCGGCGAAGCTAGTACTACCCACTAAAACCCAACAAAACCTTCCCCCGTCTTAATGGGGCGTCGCAGGATCGCTTACGCATTCAACTACGACGCCCCGACGGCAGGTCTGCCGAAGCAGACCACAACAACCATGGGGTGGCTCCACGGTCCACTCTGCTATCAGAGAAGTACCAGGAGCAACCCGCATGGTACACCGCCCTCCAAAGAAGGCCGCCTCCCACCGCCCACCGAAGCGGGCCACCTCCCTGTGCGTTTCTTGGCTTCGCCATTACACTACTGAGCCCCCCCACCACGACAAGGTGAACGCACGTTGGGGGGGGGGCCTATTCTCAGACCTACTATGTAGAATATACACACAAAATTTTATAAGACTCTGTCAAGCCGTTTCGGAGGAGTTTTGTTACAAACCATTTGATATATTTGATTAAATTAAAAAAATCGCAAATCTACAAAACTGGAGAAAATGAAGTAGATAAAGGAGGACTTATTCATCAACCCATGCACTTATATGAGAAGTAGTTTTGTTTTATTTAAGTTTTGGTCAACAAATAGAAAATAATTCTATACCTAGATTATATATTTAAGAAATCCTTCTTCGATTATTAATTTTTCTAGAAAAATCAAAATAGCGAATGTGTCTACATTCTGAAATATTGATTTTCAGACAAACTATTGGATTTGGATTTGAGTTGAACGTAACAAAGCAGTCAAAAATGTGACTTAGGCTCCAATCTAAACGCTAACCTGCACTCTTTCCAGCTTTTAAAGCGAGTGTTGCCAAGGAGTCCAATTTGGCCTTAGGGTTCAAAGAAGCCGCACAGTCTCTGTGCTCAACAGAGGCATCCACACCGACTGTGTTCTGATTCACTTTGGTCCCGCTCAGTAACGCTGTTGCAGTGGAGGCTGAATCAGGCACCATTCTATCTGCAGAATACGTCTGCAAAGTTTAAATATTTTTTTAAGGTGTGCAATGTGTTGTTTAATATGACTAGCACCTACAAAATATGGTGGAGTGAATCTCTAATAAAACCTAGTTTGTTGAGGGCTTGTGAAGATTACAACAGAATAAGGAATAAGCTTTCTAAATTCCATCTTAAGTCTTTATTCTATACTTTATACGAAATCGACATTTTGACTTCGTATTATTATTATGATAAAAATAAAACATTGTTAGCTCAAAGAGTAGACAATATAATATCTTTCTAAGTGTCAAAGGTTATTTAATTGATAAACGCTTATGTTTTTTTAACTTGGAAGTACATAATAGGTCTAAGACTACTATTAAAATAAAAAAAAATCTTTAAGAAGTTCTTATTACCTTCAGTAATCCTACATGTGGAAAAGTCTCAAACGACAGCCGATGGCTTTCTCCGCCTTTGTAGATTCTGGTCGCCGTCACAGTGTTGGGTCCCATGCCGTCGCCAATGAACAGTATAACATTTTTTGCTTTATTTTCATTCCATTTTACTTTTAAAGCCTCTTTTAGCTCCTCAGATGCCAAATTGGTCCAGTATTCTGGATCTAAAGAATATATAATGTAGTATAATTAAAAACAAAAAATTGTAATTTTTAAAGAAAAAATATATATTTAAAAAATACAAAATTAATACCAAAATTAAAAACAGACTGCATAGTATATACGCTATAGGTATACGAGCTCAACGTGGTGAGATTGGGATCAAGCCATATTCCATCACGCTGGCCTAGTGCGCGTTAACTGACTTCAAATGTCTTTCGAAAACTTGCTAGGTTCTCTCCTTCGCCATAAGACAAATTCGCCGTAAGTAATCATGTTGGAAATGATTTGCGCATGAAAATATCACAGGTGCCGACCTGGGTTTTGAACCTACTTCACTCTATTTCCCAAGCAGCAAGTCACAGGGCTATATTTTTTATTATTTGTATTTATCAGTGGCCTACATTACTCCATTAACGGTAGGTATATTATTATTTTTTAATTATTTTTTTTATTTGAATTTATCAATGACCTACATTATTGGGCATAAACAGTCATCCTATAATTTGTAAAAACAATGCTTAATTTACAGATTAAAAGTGATATATATTTTTATGTACTAAAACGAACATGAAGTCTGATTGTTAACAAGATAAAATGTGTGCTACTGGTACAATTTTCTTATTATATTTTTTAATTTAGTAAATTATTGTGTGCGTGTATGTACTCGCGATGTTTTTCGACATAGTACCGTCGATATCCAATAGGTGGCGCATTAATGGTGTCGAGTAATTTTATATTAATTACGTGCCCAATTGACAATATCTCTGTATCATATAAATCTATAATCCACAATGAATTAATATACATAAATACGTGTGATTAAATAAATATACACGGTTGGAGACTAATATAGCTATACTGCTATTTTCGCCGGTGTCGAAGCCGGTGGTAGATTCTTCACGGACGTACATACTGACATTTAATTTAAAATAATGTGATAATTGACTATTCAAAAGTGCTCGTAAAAGTCTATTTGAATTAAGTATTTTTTGAATTTGAATATGGGTCACTTTCAGTTTCGATACTTAAAACGGTTTTCGTTTAATTGGTGTATGACGAATTATTACTAGGAAACACGAAAAGGACTTCACAATTATCTGATTACGTATCTACATAGGTATAGTAAATGAAAACCACCGTTTAGTTACTTTTTTACTTTTTAGTGCCTGAAAGTCGCTTTTTTAGCTTGGTGTAATTTTTAGTTTTAAGTAAAAACTGAAATAGATTTTTTTTATAATTAGTAATAGTTTTTTAAGACTAAAGTAGGGTTAAGACGCTTGATGGACTTGCATTAGATGAATTAGATCCCATCAAACTTTTGAAACACCCTCATGATCTACGAGCATACTAAGAAAAAAGTTGCGTTTTCGTAGCAATCCTACTGCTACAACTTCATTTAATTTGTCATTGAGACATAATCCATTCCCGTAGCTCGTATCGGATGGCCCGGAAAAAAAGGATAATCTCGATCCGATTACTAGTTTCGGAGAAATGCGTGGACAAAAAAACATACATACATTATATTATATTATAAATGTGAAAGTTTGTGAGGATGGATGGATGGATGTTAGTTACTTTTTTACGCCAGAACGGCTGAACGGATCTGAATGGAATTTGACACAGAGATAGAGTTGAGAGTATAGTCTGGAACAGCACATAGGTTAGTTCGTATCCCGGAAAAATGTACAGTTCCCGTGTTTATTTTTGTTTGTCTAAGGACATAATTTATTTCATAAATCATTATTGTCATCAAAATTACATATTAAAAAATTGTCTAATAATTGCGCAGGAAGTGTTATAAATATAAAACCTTGGTGTCGTGTCCAATCAAGAAACTATATTAAGCTCATTGTGTGGACACAGCAACTGACTGTTCTTTTTCCCACAATACAGTTGTAGTAATATCGCAATATTGCATTTCTCCCATTTAAAGAGCTGTTAACTAAAATATAAACAAAATATATTTTGTTGTTTATACGTCTTGATTTTATTATTTCTTTTAATAATCATGTAGTTTGAGATGTTGAGAGCTTCTGTAGTAGCCCCCTGTCTACCTCCCTGTACACTTCTATACCATAAGAACCATTTGCCCTTACATGCTCCCTATAATACAATCGGGCCTATTAAATTTTATACGTACCCAACGATACAAGAATTAAATCACTATAAGATAACTCAGATTTAAAATCTTTTAAAATATTTGTATTGACATATTGGTCGGAATTACGCTCTTCGCTGCCTTAAGTTATTACTTATTACGTATGCAATCAATAATAATAATCAGTATACGTGCAAGAATTTGATAGCGATTAGAATTCTGTTAAAACACATTTACTTGCGTACAAATACGAAAAGCAAATGACAATATTATGTCATACGACTTTCGTATTCAGATATTTAATATCTAAGGAGGTCATTACTTAGTGTTAAAAATAATACATACTTTAGATTTTCGTTTTATTTTTAGCGTTATAATTAAACTATAATTCAGCTTAAATTCCACAAAAATGTACGCAAAATGCACAGCATCAATTCTCAAATGAATTGATCATAATTTTTAATTGAACAGTTCTTTAAAATCATTTCATTTATAAAGACATTCACGTTTTATAAAATAAATAAGATATAGGTAAAATACGTTTATAGGAGCTTTAAACGATATCGAAAAATGCATTTTTTCTTAACTTTGCCGTTGGAAATAAAATTAATATTTTAATGGAATAATAAAAAAAAAACGATTTTTTGATGTATATTTGGTGCCTAGTTCTCAAGGGCCGAAAATAGGAAGGACGACCCGAGTATTAAGATTTTCCTGCAGTAAAAGGTTAAAATCGGTTCAATACTTTTTGCGTAAAACCGCAAAGACAAAAATTTTGTTTTGGTTTCTATATTCTGTACACTATACGTTATAGTCATTGTTTAAAAAAAATATTTCATGTACACATTTTGCTAAGTTACTCTATTATTATATGAATATATCAGCCTCTGACCCCCCAAATTTAACTGTAGATCCGCGTCTGGTATATACTTATAAAATTTTGTATATTTGTTTCGGAGCCCTAATAGATTATCATATGTGAATATTTTGCAGTTCGAATAATATGACATACATACGTGTCGAATTGATAACCTCCTTCTTTTGAAGTCGGTTAAAAAATCACGCCAAGCTGTCACTCTGTTTCGACGTTAAAGAAGGACAAACAAACATAGACAATTTCACATTTATAATATTAGTATGGGTAGCGGTACAGTACGTTGTTATTTCTTGACTTTGGAATGACTGCACCGATTCGGATGGAATTTAGTACACAGGCTATGATATAGAGTAGGCTACATCTGCACATCCGAGCAAAGCAAGGGTAAGCTGCTAGTATGGTATTGAAATTAAAGAATTAATTATAATATAATGAAAAAAAAACGAAATACAACAATAAATAAATCAACAAACTCTATATATAATTAATATTCAATTTAGAAGATAACTAGATAAGCTTTTCAATTTAAAATATTTGCTAAATTACGACATTAGTACTGGATAAACAAATTTAACATATAAAATAATTGTCTACACTTTTACATTGTTTTTCAAGTATTTCTACAGTAAACTTACCTTTTCGTGATTGGCATCGCACAAATGCAAATATAACTGACACGAGTAACACAACCAATCGACTCTTACGCATTTTGACAACTGAAGCTCAAGCCATAGACTATGTATTTAATGAAAATTGATTCGTAACGTAAGTAAACTGAAGTCTGAACCACAGAGTACATACATTATATTAAACAGAGTTATCACTCGCTGTTTTCATCCTCGGTGCCCTTACTATATTATGTATATTATAACTATCATCATACTTATAAGTTATAACTATACAATTATATATAAAAGTTTAATAGCTAGCAATCTAGCTATAAATTGTAATAAAACGTATATAATTCTTTCTGGTTCTCTGTTCTTGAGTGGCTAAATTAATAATAAAAAATCAACGAGATATTTTTTCATTTTAATAAAAGGCCAGCATTTTTATTACCTACTTATTTTATTAAGATACATACACCTTTTATCTATTAAAAGATAAACATTGCATGTTAAAAAATATTTAAGGTTACACAGTGACTGTACTATTTTACTTAATTGAAGTGCTTAAGATATATTTTTTACTGGCTTCCCTAGGTAGATACGTTTTATTTATTTTTAAGCGGAGCCCTAATATTTTTTTTAAATAAAAGTAATCTAAGTTACTCCTTATAACATCAGCTATCTGCCAGTAAAAGTCCCATCACAAACAGTACAGCCGTTGCGGAGATTAGCCGGAACAAACAGACAGACAGACAAAAGTTTTAAAAAATGTGTTTTTCTTATAAGTAGCGTATATGTATAATTTTATATGCATGTAGTAAAAAGCTGTTATGTTGACATTACAAACAGACGCTTCAATTTTATTTATCTGTATAGATTAAGATGTTGATACAGCGCCATCTGTTTTTGACTAGTGGTGAAAGCACTTTTTTTTTGAAATAGTAAAGAAAGATATGCATTCTAAAATGTAAAAAAGAAAAGAAACAAAATATATACCTATTTTATGTTTCTTTTGACTTTAGTTCACGTGTATCATCGATACCATATTATGCATATAAAAAAAATCTTAAAAATAACTTCTTTATTATATTTTTATTGCACTAAAGAATATAATAAAGAAGTTCTGTTTTTTTTTCATAATATATAATATTTTTTTCATACTTCAAACAAAACAAAAAACACAATAAGAATTTGAATGACGTTTGATAAAGTTAACTAACCGAGTGAACATTTATCGCAAATACACATCGAAGGAAAGAAAAAATTCTTCAGAACAACGCCCCAGGGGTTGATTACTAAAGGTTTTTTTGTAGCGTTAAATATCGAGGAAACTGGAAACGTTTTATATACATATATTTATTTGCTAGTAATGGATTCGTTTTGGATGTTTTCTGGGATTTTGTTGTAAATCCTATATTTTATCTATAGAAGAATAACCTTACTAAATATTATAATAGTGAAAGTATGTTGGTTTGTCACTCGTTTACGTCAGAACGAATTAAATAATCTTTAAATAGACATAGTTATAAGTTTAGGTAGTGGTAACCTAGTCGTAACGCGCTCGCTTTTGTAACCGAGTGAAGCGGATTCGAATCCCAGGTCTCGCACCTCTGATATTTTCATGTGCGAAACATTTCTAACATGATTACCTCTCGCCTTAAAGGGAAGGAAATTATCATGAGAAAACCTGCATGTCTGAGAAAATCTAGCAAGTTTTCGAAAGACATGTAAAGTCCGCGAACTCGCACTTGGCCAGCGTGGTGGACTCTCGCCTGTTCCCTCTCGTATTGAAGAGACGCCCGTGGCCAGCAGTGGGACGAAAAAGGTCTGAATACACATAAGTTTATAAATTTTTTATACTAAATCTTTCCGAATCTTATTTTTTACATTAAAGTTTAAGTGTAGTTCTTACTAAATAGGTAGTTTCTAGACACTAACGAATGAAAATGTAGCGAAAGATCTATATAGGGTTACAATTAAATGTGTGATAGAAATATATCAGTTGTCGCGATCGATCGACGCGCCGCCCTGCGCAGCCGTGCAGCCTCCGTTAAGGGGAAGCTTTTCATTAAGAAACTAGCGACTTATCCTTGCTACACTTGGTTGCTCCCTGAGTAACCGTAGCCTATCTGTTACTCCAGACTATTATCTAGCTGAATGTAAAATTTCATCCCAATCCGACCTGCCACTTTAATGTGACGTACAAACATACATGTAAATGTTCGTATTTATAATAATAGTAGTCTGATAGATATTGAAAAAATATATACTCGTTAGCGCTCTAGTAGTGCATGTAGCATGTACGGCTGCGGAGCCGAAGTTTCTGGGTTCGAGGTCCGCGTCGAGCTAAAAATAGTTGTTTGGTTCCACCATAGGTTTCTATCAACATGACTTTTTAGGGCTAATCGAAGGACACAACAACAATTGTTTCATATAAATATTTAAGTATAATAAATTAACGATATGGCCTATATATGTTCCTTTTCTATCTAATGTGTTTCACAGCTTTGGTGTAAATGCGTTTGTTATTTTTCTTCCTGACGGTTGAATTATTATATTATTATAAAGCAAATTAGAGGTAACACGACAAAAAGTTAAACTCTAGACCCAAAGACCGATAAACAATTCGTATTTAGGTACAAATTGTCCGAATTTATAATGGGTTGATATTGACAGACTGCCTTCCCCTTAACGATCCACCTAAGTTGAGTCAAAGTTGTTCCAACACTCTAGTCGCTCAGAATGTCTAAGCTATTAAGAATCGAGTGCTAGTGTGAGATAACAAGTGTTGTGAATATATCAATTACAGTTGATTAGTAAAATGGTAAGATTATTTCTTAATTTAATAAAATATATTAAAAAAATATTATGACTTAATGGTAATGTTATTTCTCTTTATATTCTGGATTTAATATATATTTAACATATTATAACTTTTGGTACTTTCAAGAATATCGAAGAGTTCGTTGGAGATATGCAAGATTGAAGCGTTGTAGCCGTCTTCCCTAACGTAGTATAAAAATTACCTCTGGAAGCAACTACTATAATAGGTAATTTTTTTTATTTTCCCACAACAGATAATATTTAAAAAGTCAAATAAAAAATATAAATCAGTGTCAAAGTTATTTCAGGCAAAAATGGAGCTCCCTGTTTTAGACAAGTTCTGTTTTATCTTCGACTTGAGGACGGGATGTATCATCATGGGGATAATAAATTCGGTTTGTATGACATTGTGTATTTTATTTAAACGTTCAAATGCCATTATACGATGTAAAAGGTTCATATTGCTGAGTATCTCTTGTTTATTGGATAATGTGGGCTAACTGTAACTGTAGCCTTGATCACATCTTGACTTGGTAACTTTATGCGGGAATGAAAGTAGCCTATGCCACTCTCCGACCTACAACGCTAATAGACAAATTAATCAGTCTATTCGTTGTCAAGAAAAGAACAAACCAATAAACCAACTCATTTTTTTTTAATTATAATAGTTTAGCTTTTATCTGCGGCTTAGCTCGTATGTTTAAACGGTAAAAATCCTCTATCCACCCGTAAAAGGGTCATAAAAATATTTAACGACTAGCATTTTCCCGCAATTCTGCACGCATAGTTCAATACATGTTACAATATTTTTTTAAATTATAGCCTATGCTTACTCTGATGCTAACTATATTACTGTAAACTTTCATCAAATTCCATATAGAAGTTTTTGCTTAAAAAGGTAAAAATCCATTCATCCATTACATTTCCTAAAGAGGTTTCCAAAAATCTCTCTCGCACAAAGCAATTTACGACTCCTTGTCTTCCTGTGCTAAGCATGCTTCAGACGTAGCATTTTGTTTTATAAGTTTCATGTAAAGAGTTTTCACACTTTCCACTACGCGACAATATATTAAACAGAGTGAGGACTAATTATAAGCTTCATCACTTACAGATCCTAACGTTCGTGTTGGCGGTGATATTAATCACCTTCGCGGTGGACATCAAAGACGCGGCAGAGTCTAAGAAGGATGATATGGACGGCATGTCTTCCGTCGTGTACACTATTGTGATACTGATCGTTGTTCTCCTTTTCTTGAAATTCCTGCTGGATTTGATCTTCGTATGGGCAGTGTATAAGGTAAGTTTAATTATTATAATCTATTACATAAAACTTATGGCATGGAACTTATGATGTGTGCAATGGCTAGAATAAAGATCTATAGATGAGTTTCAAATATAAATAATGTTACCAGCTAGGGTTCTGGGAAAGAAGATTAAAGCTAACTTGCTAAAAATGTTTAATTGCTTTTATGTAAATGAAAGTATATCGAAATACTTTACATACTTTGTCAGTCCAGTTCCAGTAGCTTTCACTACTACCATCATTGCACTCCACATGAATTCACCTTTTAATTCTTCGAATATACTCTCACATAACTTCTCTAACTCTTTCACATAACTTCAAGCAATATATGATAGTGTAAAACATCTTCACATTAAACTATGTTATAGATACCAGACAGTTGATACACTACGCATATATAACTTTAAATACATACATATTATAAATATAAACATCCATGACTGGAGTACAAACATTCGTGCTCATCACACAATGAATGTTCGGGACTCGAACCCGCGAACGCTGGTACAGCAAGTAGGGTCACTACATACTGAGTCAAACGTGTCGTCAAAAAAATCATCTCTTTTATTTCATGAGGAAAATGTTCTGTTAGAGATGGACAAAATTCTAGAAAGAAATCGGCATTCTGAGAACAATTTTGATAATTCATTTACCTATATTTGTCTCATTCTTTATTTATGACTTTATTTTATTTCTTCAAACAATTTTAGGAGAGAAGTGGTATTATAAAGAAATACTGCATCTTCTGGATCGTGTTCCTGGTGCTTTTTATCATTGGATTCCTCAAGACATTGTTCCACATGGGCGCCGGCCATGTCATCGCACAGATACTGTTCCTAGGTATGATATTTCTGACTTTCCATATTTCAACTAATTATAAATTACTTAAATAAATTATAGACTTTCAAAAGTAAGTCATTTTAATTAGTTCCAGCAGATACATAAAATTTTAATCAAAAACTTGATTTTCAGCTGAAAATTTTTACTACATCGTCGTGATCCGGAGCTACTTGATATCGATCAACGAAGATGGAGTTTTGTAAGAGTTTTCGTACTACAATATTTTATTTTACATTTGTTTCTTTCGTTTGTAGAAACCAGTGAACGAAAAGTACTAAAAATGACCATTTATCATTAATATATTTTGTAAGGATATATATTTTAATAAACATTATTAATTACAATGCCATATCAATGATAATGAAATATTTCTACTATATATTGCTAAATTAAAGACACGTTTGGAGACAATTTTAGCAAAGCGAGCTGCAACAGATAAAATTTATTTGTCGGAAAATATTTTTAACCAAATAAAGGCTGATTGATAATTTTTACGTAATTATAAAAGTTATTGCAATCGTTAAATCATGAAATTTTTTCCATTTGTTCAAAGAATTTTTCCAAAGTTATTCGCTTACATTGTAATAGTGGTTGTGAAGTTTTGTTGAAGTTACCGTTAAAAGGAATAATCATATCATAGATGTATTCATAGCATGTGCTTCTGTGAGGGGTGTCATGTTCATTGGAGAGGGCAGTTGATTTTTTAATTGCTGGTGAAAAATATTTACTCTATAATACTTTCTTAGATTTACGCGAATATTTGACATTTTAAATATAACTATCTTTTCGGAGAGAGCGAGTCTCTCCCGTAACCATGAATGCTATAAAGCATTCGAAACGTCGGGAAACAAAAATCCAAATAAATCCGCGACAAAATCCGAAAAGATAGTTTTATTTAAAATATTTACTCTATATTTTATAATGGTGGTACTTGGTACCTAATCTAGAAACAGTTACCTGCTAAAGTTTAAATATTTCAAATTTACTTAAATAATAGGTCGTGTTGTAACTTCAAACTCAAAAAAGAAACAGTGCGATTTTACAGTGTCAATGATGATGAACATGATATCCAATTATCATAAGTTTGTCTTCCATAACATAGAGTTAAGCTCTCATCTTTTATTACCAGCGTTTACATTTCCTGTATTTATTGGTGAAAAGTTCCATAAACTATGTATTTACTCTTCTATATATTTGTTGAATAAATTTTTAAATATAGGCTTTAAGACCGCGGAATAAAGTAAGGAGGTTATTTAATTTTGTATGAAAACCGCTTTATATATAATATCGAGATTTCTTACCAAATATCATGTGCCCGTCTCTGACTCAACCCTGTGTTTTTTCTTAACTTACTGTTCTCAAACCTAACACTTGTCCAAATTCTCGAAATTAAGTTGACATTATTAAGTAGTAGTACTTTTATATATTTCCTAATAGCGCTTTTAACTCATAAGGCATACTTAAAAAAATAAGAAAGTAACGAGATTTTTTGACAATCGTCATCGAATATAAGCATGTACATTGAGAGTGGACTGAGTGATTATAATTTGCCAGCCATCAGCTAAAAATGTCGGAAAAGCGACGAAAGAGACAAAACGAATGTGCGGCCAGAAGTCTTCTCTATCAATTGAAATAAGATTAATGAAAATAGATATTAATAAACATTTTACATTCCATTGTAATATTATAATTTTCAATAAAATTATATATTTTTTACATTCTATTTATAAATTCAAATTGGAATAAAATACAGATATTGACCGCGCGTTCGCTTTCTCTCTTTCTAGAGAGTGGTCAATATCATGACAGTATTGCTCAGTCTATACTCTACGTATGTATATGAATAAAAGATAAATTATGATGACTCTAAAAGACAATCGCTTGGACTTGATTTGATAAATTTCAAAACGCAGAGGACGACTGACATGATAGGTGGGGAAATCGTGTTCGGCACATTATGATATAGGTATTTCGGCGTATGTGTAGAGCAGCCTCTATATTTAAATCAAACTGAAATCACTAATCCATGTAATCTTCTACCGAGGGCGTTTAGACAGGACAATCATGCAGGGGGAGACATGGGTAAAGCACTCTCAACTGTAAATGAAAATGACCAAAAAATTACTATATCAGGTGCAGAATAACAGAGTGTAAACGCTATCCGGCAATTTAACTTATTTAGATACTTCTAGTAGCGTTACTAGATTTGAATGTTTTGAAATATTTAGACATTAATTAAAAAAAACATTGTATTAAATTAATTCATTATTTTAATTGTACGAGGATTTAAAGTGTGCTTCGTTTAGTATTTGAAAGCTTACTTCTTACATCCACAAATACAATGTTGAATCGAACTTATAACTAGACGTTAACGATTGAGATCCAATATCCTTTTTAGAATTATATTTTTACACATTATACCTTTCCAATATTTTGATAAAACTTATCTTCTATAATATATCTTTCTACGAAATCCGTATATGTTTATAATATATTATTCACGAATTTAAATAAAGGAACGTACCAATACTGCGTGACCAGTTTAGGGGGTGAAGGGGAGGGGGTATTTAAAATACTACGCTGGGTGACAGGGGCGGATGGGGGTCTCTCAGGTTTTCATCACATAGTAAATATCCTAATAGACAAATATGAGCCAAATTCTTTTTTGTTTTGTAGTTTCTGTTTGCAAAATATGCTTTCAAACCATATTTATGAATTACTACGTGAAAACTAGAAGGGGCAGAGGGAGGGTGTTTCTTTGTCATAAATTACAGGAGGTCACCGAGAGGGGTAAGGGGGATCAAAAATTGTAAAAAATTGGTCACGGAGTATGTGTACGTTCCCTAAAACATGTCCTGAGTGTACAATTCGCTAGAAAACTAATAAAAGTTTTAATTTGGTATGTTAATATACTTCTAGTCTATAGACGATCTCGTATTTACTATTGCAATTAAATATTTTCTTAATTACAGAGTTTTATCATAATTTGCTTATTGGCGAATTCGTTATATTGAAAATGCTATATACATAGGATTAATTTTGAAATAAATAAAAAATATTAAACCTGAAATCATTTTTAGAAATGTGTAAGTTGTTTTAAACGAATATAGTTACATATTTTATAAACGGGCCCGATGTGTTGTTACTTTGATATTGTATTATGAATTTTATAAATATTTACGTTTTGTACGAGTTTTAAAATAATTTAATACGACAACGTATAACGGGCCCGGTATTTTAGTCTGTGGTAGGCAAAGACCGTAACGTACACAGTGTTAGTGGTTTGTTGAAATTATTCATATATGTACTCGTATAAATAGATACGGTGTAATAGTCGACTCTATAATCTCTATATATAACTGTGTAGGCACCAATTAAATTAATAACGACAATAAGACGTCCTTCGCTTTAATTAGTTTATAGATCGTGTCTCTGTTCTTCTGTGAGAAGCGAATGGAATGCTTAATATACATATGTCATATATTCTAACATATATATCTACACTAGCATTGCCCGCGGCTCCGCCGTCAGATGACCAAAAACCAAATTCTTAGGTTTTACATATTAGTATACTCTTAAAATGCAGTTTTTGTATTTTTTACCAAATTTCATCAAAATTTGTCCAGTGGTTTTCTCGTGATGCGGTAACAGACAGACAGACAGACTGACAGACAAAAATTCTAAAAACTATAGATTCGGACTCTGTCTCGATAATAATATCTATTTCAATTAGATTTTCCAAAAAATATTTAATGTACAGATTCGACTTAGTTACAATTTTATTATATGCATAGATATATTTTAGAACACAATTGTTTTTGATGTGTTGCAAAGAAACAAACACACAATTGTAATGGTGTATCTACAAGCAAGAGGATTAATAAGTATTCAGAAAATTAGATTTACATATATAAATACAACTTTTCAGTTTGTGAGTTATTCATGTACCTATTTGTAATAATAATAATATCCACCTTATCTGTGCCATAATTCATTTTTTCTACTTATGTATAAGCATTCCATTCGCTACTTATTTCTAAAGTACACATGTTTATGAAATAAAAGTATGTTTAAAAAGAGTTACCAATTACAAAATACATATATAACTAGTTACTTACATATCTTCGACGTTTATATATTAATATTATAACTCTATCCCTTTATGAAGAATGTACTTATTCCTAAATTATACAATGTATGTATATTAATATCTTCTAGAGGTGTTTTATATTTTATATTTGTATAAAGATCTGTCCACATAACTCCCAACAATTGTATTTGTTTAGCCAACTTCAAAGAATTGATAGTTCAAATTACCGACTACAAAAATGTGGTACCTACTTATCGGGTGTATTTTATTTGTATTTTATAGGATATCTTTGCCAATTGAAAATTGTATCCATTTTCCTTTTTTAAATAATGATACTTATATTTTTCTTTTAAATAGACAAAAAATAATTTCCTTTTAAGTGTTTTAAATAAAACTATTTTTACGGAATTTTCGCGAATTTCGCGTGAAAAAATCCGAAAAGGATAATGACAATGATGACAGGCTGTCCGGATAATGACATGGGTTACTGTCTATCCCACTTTGCCATGCCCGGCGTGGTACCAAAGAAAAGCCGGGACAGGCTACTAGCTTAAAATAGTCATAGTATGTGGACAGATGTTTACTTAATTAGCAATGTTTTGCAGTTTGCACATCCAATACTAACGATCAATTGTAAAACGCTTTAAATGTCGTCATAATTATTTACAATGTGAAATTTGTATTGATTTTATAGAGATTTTGATGTTTGTGACTGTTGTACGCTTCGTTAAATGCAGTGGGTAATGAAATAAACATAATAAATGTACCATTTTGTTTTAATTTCCTATCAATCAATTTTATACCTTCATATCTTATCTTATAAATTATAGTACCTATTAAATGAGCAATTCTTGTAAGATATACAAATTTATGTCGACTCCAAAGATTTGGAACACATTTTGTAGTTAGATAAGAATCTGCTCTAAGGATTTGGAACAAATTTTGTATTTAGATAAGGTTTTGCTTTTTAAGTTTATCTATATAGTAGTCCTTTCCGAAAAAAAAATTAATGTCTATTCCGAAAAACCACGATTTAACAAAAAAAAGCGTTTTTATCTGTATACAAATAGTTACCAATAACTAGCAGTTATCTTTGAAAAATTGAGCGTTTTTTTAGTATCTTTGAAAAATTGAGCGTTTTTTTAGCGTAGTAATGAAAAATTATTACGGTTACATTTGCATACTAATGTATCTATTTACTCGATTGCGTGACGCAAAGAAGGGTAATGCGCTTATCAGTCTATGTATGTTTGTTCCAATGTGATGTGCTAGAGACCAAACGCGTAGGCCGCTTTTGACGATTCATACGTCGTCAGATTCATCTTAATAACGCGAGTGTCTTAAGCTATATAAAAATAACTAGTTTAAAATTAAAATGGCGGATTTCAGGCGTCAATTTGTGTCTTTGAAAAAACTTTCAAAGAAATCGAGTGGGATATCAAAATAAAAGTTTTTAAGAGGCATAGATAACTTTTTTACCTGGGAAAAATGTACGATTCCCGTTTAATAGATTTGTTTTTATTTTTCACTAGGGACAAACCCAAGCATAGCGAGAGTGAGTCGCTAGTCGTATAATCAGTTTAGAAATTTCAATAAAGGAATCTTTCATTTTTATTACAAATTCCTTCAATAAATAAATAGCTAATTATTTTTAAATATATTTTATTCATACATACAAAATACATACAAATCCTAACAGGCAATAAAAAATTAAGAAAGCGTATTGGATCACAAATGTTACGTGCAGTCTTGAGTCTACATCGGCAAGGCAGTTTCGCTGTAGTTCATCTTCATCTTTCTGTACAGACTGTTCACTATCACCAAATAGTATGCAGAATACACTGTAAAAAATTGAAAAAAAAATGTAATAATTATATGTTAATATGCGTTTTAGATGGGTTCGAATAGAGTAGTGCCACGGCTTACATCGCTAGTGTTCTTTATTTAAAAAAATACATAAGTGCATAAAAATTTATCGAAGAAGTAAGTAAGCAAAGTAAATAAAAGTAATTAAAGCTCTTGAACTCTTTTTTCATAAACTATTTTTTTTTAAATATACGAGTTACCAAATAACCCTTGAAGTGGGGCTAATTGAAATCAAAGATGTTGATGCTTGGGAATAATTGGTACAAGAGAGAAGTATGTGTAAAGCAAGAAAATGTATAAATATTATATTATATTACTAGCGGCTCACCCTCGCTTCGCTCGGGTTCGTCGCTAGGTACGTTTTAAATAGATATAAAAAGAAAAAATCTTTCTTTCTCACATTTTAATTATATGTTTTAATACTTACCTATTCCGGACTAAGAGAAATCCAAAAATTAAAATATCATAAAAATCTGAACGCGGTCGAACGGGATAAAAAGTATCCTATGTCCTTCTCCTGGCTCTAAACTACCTCCCTGCCAATTTTCAGCTAAATCGGTTCAGCCGTTCTTGAGTTATAAGCGAAGTAACTAACACGACTTTCTTTTATATATATAGATATTATACGTATATAAGGGAGGCTCTTAGTCAAAATTGTGTTTTTATTCCATTTGCTGTAGAAATCCTTGGTCCACTGAGTCAAAGTGCTAAGCACTTCTTAATAACACCCTTGGCCGATTTCACCAACGTCACCTAAGTTTAAGGGATCCCCTAAGCATGGTTAGAGGGCTGTTAGGGGACTGTTTCTGTTTCGCCGACAGTTAGGGGGTACCTAAATGTTAAAATGCCACCTAAATATAGGTACTAGAAATACGGGCTCTGACGATGGTAAAACGAAATTTAATTTAGCGGCTAGTTTAGGGGAACTTTTAAGCTAGGGATCCCATACGTAGGTGGTAGATGTTGGTGAAATCGGGCACCTGTCTTATAGCCTCTACTAGTGACAGGAGAGCTGGAGCATTTTTCGCCCAAAGAATCGATATTGCCATTCAACGGGGGAATGCGGCTAGCGTTCTTGCCACTATTCCACGCGGACATAACTTGTACAGTAATAACTAAGTGTACATTTGTTTTGTATATATAATTAAGTATATTTGTAATTTTTTTATCCAATACTCATATTATAACTCACCAGTCCCTATTACAATAAATAACACAATCAGGGCGATGTTCCAGGGCTCTCCGAGGTATGGACTGAGCTCTGGACTGAAGAGACACGTGACGACCACCACAAGAAAGAGGCACAGGATGAACACTGAGTTGAATAGTAGAGACATCTGGAGACAGCCTGGTCTCCGCTGGAAATAAACAAAATTTTCAATTGATAAGTACTGTTTTGATTGACTTGGTCGTATTATTTACGTATGCTGGTAGGTTCAAGTTTAGGGTGGAAGAGTGTACTAAATCATATCCATGATATATAAAATTGAATTTGAGTTTAAGTTATTAGATTTGAATTATTAGGTTAGAAATTAATTGTGTCATAGAAATCTGCGGTGATGGTTGGTGTCAGTAAGATTACGAGTTCAGAAAGACAAATTTAGGTCATAGACACCAGCCGTTTAGATAGACGATATTTTACAACAAGCGCTTAATCTATACCCTTTTTCGTAAATAAGGTGGGATGATAACTCGACATGACCGGTGAGCTCAGACGGTTTCTCGTTTACGGGCACTATCCGAGACACGGGGACCTATATTTTTCTTATTAAAGAATTTTAATTTTTATTTAATAAATTATTAATGTTTTTACTTAACATTATCGACTAAGTTTACCGAGAGTTTGTAATGAAAAAGCTTCAGTCCTAAAAGAAACTGGCGTCAGCTTCTCAATTCTGGATTCTACTTAGATTTTAAATAGGGAAACCCCAAAACTCGAGACTCAAACCCATGTGCCCACGATCTACAACCGATGGTGTTAGCCACTGCACTAACGACTAATACTCACTCTTTAAGTACCTACAATGTTTTTATTATTTTAACTATAATATAAATACAAGCAAATTGTAAAACACTTGAATATTCTTACGTAATACAATTTTTTTATTACTACAATTCTATTACGGAAATAGAAACAAAAAGTTAAAAACATCGCAAACGCAACAAAAGCTATTTTGCTCAAGACGAACAATGTATGTACGTATGTATATAGCAGCTATTTTCTAAGCGTCCGATGTAAAAACAATCATATCTGTTATCCATATTCACGTTTATCTCTGCCCAAACCATCATTATGATGAGAAATTAATTCTTTTCCGCCTCCATTATGTGTATACTTACAGTACACTCTACACAGTATAGTACACGTATCTATCTACTTAAAACGTGATAAAATCTATACATATAATAAAATTGTGACTAAGCCGAATCTGCACTTTAAATATTTTTTGGATAATCTTATTAAAATAAACAATATTATCGATAAAGAGGCCGAATCTATAGTTTTTAGAATTTTTGTCTGTCTGTCTGTCTGTTACCGCATCACAGAAAAACCACTGGAGGGATTTTGATGAAATTTGGTATGGTGATAGCTGGTTATTTAGGTCAACATATAGGATACTTTTTACCCCGAGTCGAAATATCTTATTTCTGAGAAAAAAAAACAAAAACTGCAATGTAAGAGTACACTAATATGTAAAACCTAAGGATTTGGTTGGTTGGCGGGCGGAGCCGCGGGCAATGCTAGTCTATACATAAATAGGCAAAGAAAACAGTTCAGTACCTTTTTCTCCTCTGCTTGTCAACCGATTTTCTTTTTCTATTTTTTATTTTTTTTTTACATTTTGCCGCGGTAAAAAGTATTCTATATGTTGATCCGGATAAACAGCTATCAATATAACAAATTTCATCAAAATCCCTCCAGTGGTTTTTCTGTGATGCGGCAATAGACAGACAGACGGACAAAAATTCTAAAAACTATAGATTCGGCCTCTATCGATAATAATGCTTATTTCAATAAGATTTTCCAAAAAATATTTAATGTACAGATTCGACTTAGTTATAATTTTTATATGTAATAGATTGATAGATATCTTACCGTCCCAATGCCCACCAAAGCCACAATATTGCTAATGGCAGACAATGTGGAGAACATGACCAGCGTCATGGATATGAGGTTGTCCTCCTGCTCGCGCTCCCTGTGACGCGGGAGACTCCACGACCCGCCTATGATAGCTGCTACGCATGACAGCTGGAAAAAGATGATCACTTAGTTAACAACCCACGATTATTTTATATGGCTTCTCATTACACTTGTTACTTAAAATTTCATTTCTATTTTCTATTTTTCGGATTTCTTCGCGGTTAGTTTATGTTTTCAACAGGCTGCGAATGTTTTACAGAAAACATGAGGATCGATCCCTTTAGTAACCAAGTTTGCTGTACAGCATACGAAAGAAACCTCATAAACATATCCCATTTCCCATGGGAATCGCGCTAATATCTGAAACTACAGATTTCATTTTTTTTGTATAGCCTTTTTATTGAGGAAGGTTATCTATTGTCTATCTGAAGTCAAGCTACAACCCTTATGAGTGGGTTTAAAACAGACTAGTGAGCAAAGTCGCGTTTAAATTTATAAAAATATAAAAATATTCGAGTCTCTTTTCTCGTTCTAAAAAAATCGAAGGAATCAAAATCAATGAACTCAAGGTATAATGTTATATTTTAATAAATTATTAATACAATGCAGTGGCAACCTTATTTATATCTAGCCTTAATTTGCATACTATGCTAGAGGTCACTGGTGCAATAGGTACTATCGACTAAATCTCTTTAGTACAGTGTTTAAAATTTCTGTAAGAAATTACTTACAAAAACCAATGGCTTTACGTACTTTCCTTTGGGGTGTAACATCTATATTATTAAGAATTTCTGAATTATTAAAACTTCCCTGTCGGAAAAATACATTATAATTGCTAGCTTTAGCCAGGAATCGAATTCAGGAACTAGACATCAGCCTTACGAGCTATTATACCATTGAGTTAGCTTATAGCTATCCACCAGTGAATATACCTATATATACAAAGCTATATATGCATTAAATTGTGTGTTTGTATGGAGAGAAAGAAAAGTCTGTTGATTGACTTTTTGAATCAAAAATTGATGTAATAAACTTACTGTGGATAAGATACAAAGTATAAAGCAGCCTTTCTCTAAAGACAGGCAACCGCAGCAACGTCTCAACATCGGTAACGCCATCTTGTGTCTGAAAATCGTATTTTGTATTAGAACTTTTTACTTTTAAATGTTTAGTAAAAACTATTAATAATAAATATCATATTATTCGTACTACAGAAATGAGTATATTGATGAATGAATTTTAAAAATCTATCGAGTCTATAATAAATGTAGACAATAACTGTCAATAGTCCAATCGGAATCCGGTTTTGGAACAAAATATTGAAAACCTGAAGTATTATGATTTTAAAATGTTAGCAGGTATATAAAGAATACAAATTCGTAAAATGCCCCCGATGCCCAGCTACGCCCGAGAAATGGGGGGACGCAAAGCGTGGAAAAATAGTTTTTTTTTTCAATTTCCGGCTTACTGTGACGTTCTATCAAAAATTGTTTTCTACAGAAGATGTAGGTCTAGTAAAAATCTACAACTTACATAAAAAGCACTTTTTACAATAACCTCAAAGTTTTCGAGATATTTGCAAAAAACTCGGTTTTTAACTTTATCTCGGTTTTTTATTTTTTATTTCTAGAATAATCTTTTGATTTCCATGAAACTAAGGTAATGTAATCTTCGAAATAGACATAATAAATAAAAAAAAAGAAATTGAAATGTTTAGCCATTTCCGAGAAAAGTATATTTTATGGTCTCGAGAGGCTGAAAATCACCCCAACTTCAAGTGGGCGTTTACATTTAAAAAAATGTTCGTTCAATTTTCAGATAGGGCTCATTCTTTTCGTCTTAAACTCTTCTTTTTGAAAAAATAAAAACATTGTATGGTCATCTTGTAAAAACACCCTTTAAAATTCAAAAAATTGAAGAAATCTTGTTTATTCAATAGTTAAAAATATATTTCAAAAAATTAAGTCGATATTTATAACATTTAGTCATAGTTTTGTTAAAAAATCATAAAAAATGTAAAAAATTAAATAAATTATAAAAAAAACTATGATAGATTGGTCTTTACAATGAGATGATGAGGTTGATAAGAATAATTAAAATATCCTTTCAGGCCTCAAATTATTTGGCTACAAGTGCAAAATGTTTTTGATAAAGTACATTCAATCGATAATAACTCAGATTTATGGCATTAAAAGGCCACTTACTAAATATATGTTTTTTAAAATTAAATATGCTGTTTTCTTCTATTAAAGTACGTCTCATGGAAATGTTATATTCTTTTAAATTTCAAATGCGTTACTTTATTAATTTGTTTGTTTGTGACTAACGAACTGAATTAATAAAAATTATACGAACCCATTTGCATTTTCCTTAGAATATTATCTAGTATAATTAAAATGTGTTTCTGAATAATATGTAGGTTGTACGAGTAATTAATGCCTATGTAAAACTAGAGTGAATCGTTATCTTATACAACTATAAACCCAGTTTACTGTATAAATATTTAAAATTATAATAATTAAAAAACTTTTATTTTATTTTTAATTTTGAGAATGCATATACGCATACTACCTGCATACATAAAGTTAGAACCGACTAGAAAATCCAGTAGGTACTATGGACTAAACGGAACTTCCCACGTTTTAATAGGGCGACGCCACGACGGCAGGCCTGCCGAAACAGGCCACAACAACGATGGGGTTGCCCCAACAGTCCACTCTGCTATCAGAGAAGTACCAGGAGCAACCCGCATGGTACACCGACACCTGAGGTGGGCTGGGGTGGGGTGGGCGCTTCCCACTGTGTCTTGGCTTCACGCTGCATTGCTGGACGCTTATAAGCTCAAACGACAATACAAATGGGGAAGGGAGGGGGGTTTATGTTTCAAAACCTACGCTATCCATGCACTTAGCATCTGGAAATAGGATTCTATTACACTCAGACCAAAATAGAAAACCGTAACGCCTTTACATACGATGCAATACTAATATACTTCAGGCATGCTTCATAAACGAGTGCATGTGTATCTGTATATACTACATATTAATCAACAAAGTAATAAAATTACTTTGACGTCCGTAAACGGTTCAATGAACATCCAAGGCCGCATCTGACAGATAGAAAATTGCAAACAGAAGGCTAATAATTTTTCATAGATAGTGGATAAACTTATTAATTTATTACTAATTTTTTAACTGCGTGCTTTTAACAATTCTACAATCTATTTATGTTTATTAGATTCGTTCTATAAAGATAAAATTTTCAGAAGTTTTTGTGTGTAGGTACGTCTGCGAAAGTTGACACCTGCCTTTGATAGGTGATACACGCAGACTCCAAATAATTTTTGGACTCTAGTGGGCTGACGATAATCCATCACAACGGGTATACGATGTTTGGCACAGGAGCTTTACGTTTTCACGATGCAAGCAGAGAACTATAAACTGCCACTTTCCTATTTCAAATAAATCATAACTGAACTGGCATTTGGAGAATAAATTTATTTGAAAAATTAGATCTATATTTAAATAATATGTAAATATACAACCCTAAACAATTACTGTGCGAGTCATATCCGCACGGACCAGGAAGAAGGACGCCAGCTGCTCCCGTCAAATTGCAATAAAATACAATACGAGATACGAGAGATGAAATTACTTTAAATTTGAATTTCATATTCATAATTAAAGAAATCATTTATTTTCTAAAAAATACGAGTTTATTTTACTTTACTTATTATTATGACGACATGTTTGGCTCAGTTGGTAGTGACCCTACTCGCTGTGCCAGCGGTCGCGGGTTCAAGTCCTGCTAGGGGCATTCATTTGTGTGATGAGCACGAATGTTTGTACTCCAGTCATGGCTGTTTATATTTATAATATTTATTTATTTATTTATGTAGCGGAAAGATGAGTCGAGGGCGAAGTAAGGGGTAGCCTAGGTGTAAATGATGATGATGTTCTCCTTGCCGATTCCGGCTACGGCGGCCAATCTCATTGAGACTAGCTAACTGCGCAGGAGAAATATAGTGCACAAGTATACGCGCAGACATAAGTGCACTCTCTATTCCTGTCACTCTCATACTCTGGTGGAACGGCTGCTCGACACGACCAGTGAGAGTTAAGGCGCAGGACTGACGGCTTTACGTGCTCTCCGAGGCACGGGGGTTAAACACCGCCAACTTCCCAACTCCGGGCTGTTACTGAGACTTACTATACAGAAAGACTCAATAACTCGAACTCGAACCCAGGACCTCTATGTAGAGATGGGACAGTTTATGTGTAAATGTATGACCTATAATATATGACTTATTCTCTTTGGTTAATACATATAGGATTTCTATAGACATCAAACCACGAAATAAAAACGGTAACCCATTGTGTCAAAGTAATTTGGTATATTTTTGTAATACGTGGCCAAACATGACCTAGATATTATTATATTATAAGCACAAATATAGCACAGCTGTATAATATATGACGTAATTTCAGAGTGGAGAGCGGCTATTTTAGTCGACGCAAAGGCGGGACGTTTTAATACGTCTGGAATGTACACGCACGCGTTTTATTTATTGTTCACTGTCTTATAATAATTATATAAAAAATAATTAAATATAATTAAATATTTAATTATATATATATATATAATTATATATATATATATATATATATATATATATATATATATATATATATATATATATATATATATATATATACAGAAATTTGACCTTTTTCTGCATTAATATTTGATATTATAACCGTTGCAATGACTTCTTTATTTCATTTAAGAAAAAAATATATTAATAAATAAAAAATATATAAATTCGAACACTTAAATTACTTACTTTATATTGAGTATATTGAGTATACATATCGCACTATACTAAAGTGAGATTTAACGACTAACTTCACACTGTAGCCAATAACGGCTAACTTCATACTGTGGTGTAAATCTGTCGCATCGTAAAAAATCACTCTCATCATTCATTTTTTATTTTTCTTAACGCGCCAAAAGAAGTATAACTTCAAAAAACAGAAAGCAAAAAAAAATATTGACGAGCTTAAGTGATTATAGATAAAAAATCATAAAAATGTAGGATAGTTACGGAAAGTTAAGATACTAATTTAGAAAGAAGCCTTTAAAAATCATTATTGTTATTGATATTTGTGCTGTTTGTAGGTAAATATTTCATTGCTAAAGATTTAATATAGTAAACGGATGCGTTATCCTCATTTTGGAAGTTTTTTTGTTGTTTAGTAATCGTACCTACGCGACGTCACGTTTTACATATACTGGTCTCAGACGAAGTGTGTATGGCCGAAATAAACATAAAACATTACAATATTACAAAAAGGTCTTTTTGTAGAAGGTAAAGAATATTTTCTTAAATAAATCACAAATTTCACCATTAATAGAAAGAAATTTTCGCTGGGCTATATATATAAACTTTAGCGACGTATCATGCAAGTATAGTCTGAGAAAACGGGTAGGAGTAAGAAATATACATAAGTACACTTGATATAATTACATACGTTTAATTACAATTAGTTTTGTAAAGGGCTTCCCACGAGCCTGCTTTTATTTAGTTTCTATAGCTTGCTAACATTCGTCTTATCTAAATCATATGTGACATAATACTTTACTAGTATTTTATTAGAAAACTAGCGACTCACCCTCGCTCCGCTCGGGTTCGTCTCTACTTGCGTTTTAACGTTTAGTATAGATTTCTCAGAGATGAGATATTTTCCGGCTGTAAAAAGTATCCTATATATTGACCCGGATAACCAGTTATCATTATATCAAATTTCATCAATATCTGTCCAAAAAAAAGAGAGACAGACAGACAAACAAAAATAATTCAAAAAACTATAAATTCGGCTTCTACGAATATATCGATCGATAATAATTACTGTTTCAATAAGATTTTCAAGCACTCTCGGCCAACTTTGGAAGCAAACGATGCATGGTTATATAAATATTGTACTTTTTGTATCGTTTTTTGCTTATTATTGGTTTTTGTATTTCTTACGACACTGAGTGGTTTGATTTTACCATCTGGCTCTAGCTATCAATCCGATAAATATGCGTAACAATTGTGAGAGTTCATTACTAAGGTGGT